CAGGCCTGGCTTAGGTAATCTGTTCCATGCCCACACTCCCAGAGCACACAGGTTTTCCTGCTCCCCCCTTCCCAAGCCTGGCTAAAGTAGTTAATTGCTCTGTTATGCACAATTTACAGGAGTTAATTACTAAACTAATACATTAGGCTGCTTGTCTCCCAGCCACAGGCCCAGCTCCAGCTCCTGCACTGGTATCAGGATATGCCGGTGCTGAATATGCAGCGAGTCCCCAGGGGCTTTGGGGGTGCTCATGGGGAAAGGTGGGGTTTGGTGCTGTGGCTTTGAGCCCTGGGCTGAGATATCCAAGGGCTCTGGGCAGGACTTTGTGTTGGCTTTGGTTTCCATGTGCTTGGAATAAACCCCCCTTCACCAGCCACTGCTGTGAGTCTCATGCAGCCTTGGGAAGTAAAGAAATTACACCTTAACTCAGGGTGCTGATCCCTGAGCTTTGGGATCCTTGTATTTGCAGGTGGCTACTAGAAAAGGAAGAGGGGAGGTGGTTGTGTTTGGGCCCATGGCACAGCTGATACCAGCCCTGTGTTTAACTCCATGCAGGGAAGAATCTCCCACTCTGCCAGGCTGTCCCAAGGGTCTGTCCCCACCCTGCAAGTGCAGGGTTATTGATGGTCTATCCCTGCAGCACAGCAGCACTCTGGCCTAGCCAGCACCTGGAGGACCATTGTCCCAGCTCCAGAGCCAGGAGGTTCAGTCTCTACACTGCCACGTAGCCCCTAAAGCTTGCCAGAGTGAGGAGTTAGGTTGATGTCTCCATACCAGGCTGCTGCTGGCAGGTAAATCCCAGGTGTTCATCACTGAGGTTTGGCTGAGCAATTTCCCCACCTACAATCTCTCCAGCACCCATCTTAGGGTCAAATAGAAGAGAAAAATACAGCAGCAATGAAAAGGATGGTGAGAATGACACAGAGGGCGTGGAGCCTCCAACCCCTTTCTGTTTGAACAATATCCTTTGTGGGCTTTTGCCACTCAGCCACTTCCATGCGGGGGTGCCGGGGCAGTGCAGGGCAGCACTGGGCCAACACAGAGGCTGGATAAGACCAAAAGAGCCTGGATAAGACCAGGCATTGTCCACACTGCCTCCCCCGTGCATGACCCAGGGCTCTGCCCGCCCCGTCTCGCCGCCGTCCGGCCTGTGCCATGCACACAGATGGCCAGATTAGCCAGCACTGGCACCCAGCCTCTTCCCGGAGCTGCCGAGCACCAGCGGGAAGTTTTCTGAAGCCTGAAGTGGCCATTTGTGCCATGCAAACAGTGAGATATCCCAGGAAGGGTATTTATTTAAGGTTAAAAGCGTGACCTTGCCAAGTCCCACAGGGCTGGGAGGATGTGGGCTGAAAAGCAGCCCTTGGCAGATCTGGCATCTCACCCCCTGCCAGCTCCATCCCAGCCTGGCACCTCTGGAGCTCTCAGAGAGGCTGCAGCTGCACCCAAGGTCTTGATCCCTAGGAGAGGACTTAGCAATCCATGGCTCAGTGGCTTTGTCCCCCCAGCATCCAAGGTTTTGGTCCCTGGAAGGAGAATTTGCACCCCATGGGCAAGGTCTTGGTGGCAGCTTGTTTCCCTGGCACACAGATCAGGCTGGGTCTCAGGTTTTGGAAGCCACGAGCTCAGGGCTAGGCGTCCCTTGGGAACCCAGCAGCTCCATCTCCTGCGCTCTGAACACAGGACAGGCGCTGCACAGAGCTGTGACTCCCTCTGCTGCCTGCCCCGAGCTCCTCCTGCTCCTTCCCCATCCCACAGCAGGGAAGGCTCGGGGTGCCCCGCTGGCCTTGGGCAGCCCGGGGTGAGCGGGGACCGGAGCTCGTAGCTGGGCAGCAGCTGTGGGACTCGGGACTGCCGCACACCCGTGTGCCAGGGCCCGAATTTGGGGGGCAGGAGCTGCTTTGGGGTGATGGAGGCACAGCTCTGCCTGCAGATGGAGCTCCTCGCTCGGCTCGGGCACACGGCTGCAGCCCGGCGACGAACCCGCAGAATTCCTCCTCCTCCAGGACCCCACAGCTCTGCCAGTCCCCAGAAGACAAAAAGAGGCGGTGCTGGGCAGGGGATGGTGGTAATTAATCCCTGACTAAGTTAATTACCCAAAAAAAGAGGCGGGAGGAAGTGCTGCCCAAAGCCGGGTATTACAAAAGTGAATCTCCGCAGACCCAGCGGGCGATGCCAGGGGAAGGGGCGGTGTTGGTTTGGGGAGTGCCTGCCTGGGGCAATCTGGTGGTGTCCCTCTGCCAGCGCCTCCAGCCTGAGCCTTCCTCCCCCGGGAGGAGGAGGAGGGAGTGCCAGGTGGGCTGCAGGCAGGGAAGGGCTGCTGAGGGAGCTCTGCCTCCTCACCACAGCCTGGGGGACAAACACTGCACCTTTCCATGCTCCTGGATTTGGGCTGGCAGCTGCACCTCTGGCACTGCAGCAGGCGCTGTCACCCTGGCAGGGCTCAGCCAGGAAGCACTTGGATCCTGGTGGCTTGGCATGTGTGTCCTTGTGCCAGGCTAAAATGGCCTGTTTTCTCCTCTTTGGGGAGCAGGGACACGGGAGGAGCTGGCTGAGAGCCACATTTGGCCTCTCTAGGGGCTGGGCTCAGGTCTAGGGGCAGATGAGGGCAGTGGCAGGGTCTGATTCCCCTGGATCCCTCGGGATGGCAGATCCTGGGGAGCCAGTGGGGGCTGCCTGTGGGACCCCCGTGGTGCCCAGGGCAAGGGACAGCCACAGGGTCAGCAGCTGCTGGGCCTAGCTCGCTGCCTCAGGGATTACACTGATCCGCTCCAGCTGCCCTGCTGTGTGCTGGAGGATTTCTGAGCCTTACACTTGTTTTCCCTGCTAAATTGGAGGTGTTTGTGTCCACAGTGCAAGGGCCAGGTCAGTGTTTGCTTTGATCCCTGTGTTCTCAGCTGGGTCAGGGGAATTGTGTGACTGGGCCTGTGTGTGGTAGGAAATCAGATGTTTAAAAGTTCCTTTTGGAAATGGAGCTCTGTAAGGCAGCAGATTTAGGGCTGCAATCCTGAATCTGCTGACTGTCCTTATGGCTCTGCAGACTCTTCTTACAGATTCTGGTCTGTTGTCAGCATTGTGACACCCATCTTGCCTGTACCTCTTTTGGGTTCAGCACTTTTGCTCAGAAATCAGATTTCAGCCTCTCCCATGTAGTTTTCGACCCATGATTTGTTCTCCTCTCCCAGGTGGTCTCTGGTCCTAGTGGCAGCACTATGAATGATGCCATGCACCTGCCAGCTGCAGAATCCTCATGGATCATGCTGGTCTTGGATGAGTGGCTGATCCCCACCCCCTCCTCCTCAGCTGCCCCCCCATAACCAGTTCTGCCCCATTGTGCAATGGCAGATCCAGCACAACTCACCCTTGCCCCTGCCAAAGGGCACCCTGGGAGCAGGGCTGCCACCCTCCTGCCGCTGTCCCTTGTGGTGACACCCGAGGTGTGACAATGCAGGTGGGTACGTCTCGGGAGCAGCCCCACCCCAGGCACATTTGGGCCTGACACCTGCCTCCCCTGGCCTGGCAGCATCCCTGGGTGCTCTCCCAGCTGTGGGCAGGTGGCAAAAGCCCTTCTGCCCATCAGAGTGAGTCACTGCCTGGGCTTCACACAGCACCGGGATTCCTCAGTGCCCCTGGCTCTAGAAATGGTCTTTCCTAATGCACACTCTTACAGTGGAAATGAAACCTCAGCAGGTCTCTGATGCACTCTCAGCTCTGCCCCTTTTGCAGCAGCTTGCATTTTAAAAATTGTTATTAATTAATTTATTTTTTTCAGAGGATGATTACAATTCCCTGGGGCTTGGTGTAACTTGGGTATGAGGTTTGCTTCCCTGCAAATCACAGTGATGATGTGATGGTACTGGAGGTGCTGAGCCCATCCCAGTTTGGGGCTGGGATATCCTAGTGATGGGTGTAGCAAACCAGCCTTATTTGTGGCAAATCCATATGGATTTGATGGATGTCAATGTTCATTAAGGCTTTGGACAGTGGAAATTAAACTTCAGCAGGTCTCTGATGCACTCTCAGCTCTGCCCCTTTTGCAGCAGCTTGGATTTTTTAAAATTGTTATTATTATTTTTTTTCAGAGGATGATGACAATTCCTTGGGGCTTGGTGTAACTTGGGTATGAGGTTTGCTTCCCTGCAAATCACAGTGATGATGTGATGGTACTGGAGGTGCTGAGCCCATCCCAGTTTGGGGCTGGGATATCCTAGTGATGGGTGTAGCAAACCAGCCTTATTTGTGGCAAATCCATATGGATTTGATGCATGTCAATGTTCATTAAGGTTTTGGTGGATCAGTTGAGCTGATTTGAGGTTTGGCAAGGAGAAATAACAAAGCAAGAAGGAATCAAATGCTATTGCAAGGAACAATATGATTTTAGCTTTCCTTCATAAAGAATTAGGGCTTTGGGGGTCCTGGTCTGTGTAGGGGCATCCCCAAAGCTTTTGGATGCCAGTGTCTGGGTGATGAGTCAGGAGGCAGTGATGGAAAATGGGGGAAATTCGTGCAGAATCAGCTCAGAAGAGAAGAGAAACCCCGCGGGGGTCGGAGCTGGGTGCCAGAGCTGCAAGGGATGGATTTGGGGTGGCCTGGCCCCCGGTGGGAGCCCCGGCAGAGCGGAGGTGCGGGAGGCTCCCAGCAGCTCGGGCAGGGGGGCACAGGCACCCCTCCTCCCGCAGCCCCTCCCCGCTGTGCAAAAGGCCGCTTTTCTCCCCAAAACGCCTCCCACGTGGGACAGGCAGCGTTCGCTCCCTCTCCCTGGCAAAAGCGAAACCCTATCCGTGTCCTCAGTGCTTGGGTTTCTCAGGGCTGTCCCTGGCACTTGGCTCCTTCGCCTCCAGCATTTCCATTGCCTCTCTCCATCTTTTTTCCACTCCTTCCCGGCTCGGCCCCGGCGGCAGGGCTGCTCCCCTAAATGGGCCAGGGAGGCGGATTATCGCCGCTGCTCATCTGCATTCGCCCTCCTCCCGGTCGTCCCCCGCTCCTCCTCCTGCCGGCCGCGGCTCCAGCGGTGCGGGGATGGCCAGCGCCGGGAGAGCCCCCGGGCCGGGGCTGCCGTGAGTAGGGGGCTGCGGTGTCCCTGCGCCGGGATGGATGGCTGGGGGGCTCTCTGGCCGTCTCTGCTGGCTGCGTTCTCCCGGGGTTGTTTGTTTTTCCCCATCCCTGCCCTTCCCGTGTCCTTCGGCGGCTGCCGGAGCCGCCAGCCCGTGCGCGGGACGCTGGGGTCGGTGCCCTGGGGGTGACAGCCTGCGTGGCCTCTGCTCAGCAGGATGCCCCTGGAGGACGGGGACCCGCCGAGGGGACAGCAGGTCAGCGGTGCGGCCAGCGGGGTCCCCCGGCTCAGGGGGATGGGGGAGCCCTCGCTGCGGGGCACGGCACAGGCGATGGCACAGCGCTGTGAGCCGGGGCCAGCCCGGGGCAGTGGGGACGTGCCCCCCGGGGCAGCCCCACGGCAGCCCGAGGAAGCCCTGATGGCCGAGCTTTCCGAGCTGGTGCAGAGGGTGGTGAAGAGCAGCAGCTGGTGGGAGCGGCACGGCGTGGACATCAGCATCCTTGCCTGCAGCTTGCTGCTGCTGCCAGCAGGTAACCCGGCTCTGCCCCCCCAAAACATGGCCGGGGGGGTCCCCAGGGGTCCCGCTGCCTCCTCGTAGCTTCTTTGTGCTGGGAGCCTGTTGAGATTGTAACAAAGCCACAATAACTCCTTCACCCCATGACCTGGTGCGCTCTGACCCCTGACAGCAGGTGACAGTGACACCGGGGTACAGCCTGGGCTGAGGGGATGGTGCCCAGGCAGATGTGCACAGGGCAGGGCAGTGGGTGATGTGTCCCACCACGGGACATGGTGGTTTTGGTGCCAGTGGCCCTGGCTGTGGTGGGTGCCAGGGAAAACAGTTGGGCGTGGGTCTCTGGTGGCATGGCTGGAAAGCTGGGACCTTCTCCTGGGGGGGATGCTGAAATCCTGGCAGAGTAGTGGCACCAGTGGAATGCCACATCCCAGAACTGTGGGGTGGGATCGGGCACCTGCAGCACTCGTTGCCATCGAGGCTGGAAGTGGCCAGATCTTCAGCACAGGGGTGAGTGTGGCTGGTCCAGTCATGAGGAGGCAAACTGTGACTTGCGTGGTTTAAACACCTGTAACTACAGCTGAAGAACAGGTTTAGGGCCGTGTCTGGCGTGTTTGGGTGCAGCAACACCTCCAGCCTGGCTCAGAGGGCTGCAGGACATGTGCACGGCCGAGCTCCTGCCCGGCTGGTTTCTCCACAGGGTTCCTGTGCCTGCGGTCGTCCCAGGCCATCCCTTTCCTGGCGGGTGTCCTCACCCTCGGCGTGGTGCATCACACCCTGACTGTCAAGGGCAGCCACCTGGCCAGCCACAATGCCTTGACTGAGTCCAAGTCCTGGAGCAAAGTGTGGGCTGTCTTCTTCATTGAGGTGAGTGGGGCAGCCCCCAAAAACACCCCATCAGCTCCTTGTGGTGCTGGGCAATGTTTGGAATGGTGGGAAGGGTTTCTCATGCTTAACTGTTAAAAGTCCATTTCCAGGCTGGTTTGGGGTCTGTGGGGTGCAGAGCATCTCCCCATGGTGCTTCCTTATGGTTCCAGAGCATCTCCTCAGGTTCCTCCCACACAAGCCAGGCAGTGCCAACCTTGGCACCACAACTCTCTCTCTCTCTTCCCTCCCAGCTCTGCTCAGCTTTCACAGTCGAGCAGGCCACGTACAACCATGTGAAGATCCACCACGGCTACACCAACATCATTGGGCTGGGGGACTCCAGCACGTGGAAGCTTCCTTTCCTGAACCGCTACGTCTACATGTTCGTGGCTCCTCTCGCAGTGCCCATCCTCACCCCTCTGGTGGCACTTGGTACGTGTCCCAGGCGCCTTGGGACGGGGTGTTGGGTGTGGGAAGCTTGTGACTGCCCAGCTCTCTCCCCACCCAAGGGTCCTGCTTAGTTTGGAGGCATCACATCAACTACAGCAGCCCCTGGTGGGATGCTGCAGGAAGGGTAGGAGATCCTGCACTTGCCCTGGGGACCACATCTTCTGCATCTGCTTTCTGCTGAGAAAATACTTCACCTTTTCTTGTGCTGGATGTTGAAATCTCTGGCAAAAGCAGAAAGCTTCTCTGCAGCACCCAAATCCATTCTCCTTTAACTCAGATCTGTGGCCATTATGGGGTTCAGTCTCACACGTGGGTCTCAGGTTGATCAGATGCACATGGGGTGGTTGGTGGCCATGTATGGGGTGGAGGTTTGGGGCCAGACACAAAGAGCTTGGCCAGGAAAGGTGGTGGCTCCAGGGAAACAATGGTGCCAGAAAACGATCAGGGAGAGGAGCCCAGAGAGCAGTAAGAGGCTGGGGGAGCAAAGCTCTCCAGGCTGTGTGACCCAGCTCTGGGCAGCACAAAATGCACCAGCAATGACTTGGCAAACTGTAAGAAACCAAGGTGCGTCCAAATCCCCTGAGTGATGTTGCACAGCTGGATCTGCTGCTCTGGGGAGTCTCTCAGACGCACACCCCCGCAGTTTTATAGGGTTTGGGCCAACCTGGAGGATGGGGAAAGTGAGTTTATGGGCTGGGCTGGGCTGTGGGGCTGTTGGCACACTGGGCAGCCTGGCTGCTGGAGCAGCAGAGGTGGTGTGGAAACGTCAACACCTCGCCCATGCGCTGCCTCCTCCTCCTCCTTGTGCAGATTTATTGAGGAACGTGGAGTGGAAGGCGGCTCTCCGGACCCTCTGCTGCATGTTTCTGGGGTTTTACTGCCACTACTGGCTCCTGCTCCATGTCTCGGGCTTCCAGTCGCCATGGTCTGCCCTGCTCTGCATGCTGGTCACCCGCTCCCTGCTGGCCCACCCCTACATCCATGTCAACATATTCCAGGTAGAGACCTGAAGCTTCAAGGTATCCCAGCAGTGCTGGAGACAGGCAAGCCACCACCCAGTGCTCTGATGCTTCTAGCTGGAGCTTGTGTCTCCTTAAGGCGTGTGGGTGCAGCTGTGCTGATGCTGTCACCAGGAGGATCGGGCTGGTGGTGCGGGGTGGAAAGTGGTGGCCCTTGGAAAATGTCAGGGCAGGTGAGTGCAAAGGGGGTGAGGATGATGTCCCCTGCAGTGGCTGGCGGGACTGGCAGGGCTGATGTTTCAGGTGGTGGGGAGAGCCTGGTGGCTCCAAGTGTGGATGTTTTGGGGGAACAGAGCCTGGGAGCTCCTTGGTGGCTCCACGGACAAACACAAGATGGGATGACTTTAGGGACAAACCCAGCTCTTGGGCTGACAGAGAGACCCCAAAATGTGGCTCCTTGTGCCCGTGTGTGGGGCTGGGGAGGTGACAGGTGCCCCAGGGTGCCCTCCCTCGTGTCCTGCAGCACATTGGCCTCCCCATGTTCGCGGCCGAGCGCAAACCCAAGCGGATCCACCTCATGAGCCTGGGTGTCCTCAACCTGCCCCGCAACGCCCTCCTCGACTGGTCCTTCGGCCACTCGCTCATCAGCTGCCACGTGGAGCACCACCTCTTCCCCAGCCTCTCTGACAACATGTGCCTGAAGGTGAGCCAGCCCCACAGGGAGGTGACACGGGCACGGGAGATCTTCCCACCTCCACAGACAGACCTGTCTGTGCTGCTCCTTCTGGTGCTGGAAGCCACTCACTGCTTTGCAGCAGTCCCTGACCCATCTCCTGCCAGCCCTTTCCTGTTTCTCCTGGGTTTCTGCTCTCTGCTCCTTCTCCTGGTCCCAATTCCAGCCTTCCAGCAGTGCAGGACCCTCCCAGTTATTCCATTGGGAAAGTGTCCCCAGCACTGCACAGTCCAGTTTTTGGTTCAGACAACATCCAGGCAAATCTCCTGTCACTCTGGTCATGCCCTTACTTGCTGCTCTGAGGTGCGGGGTGTGTTCAAACCGTGGGCTCTGAGCAGTGCCCCGGCTGGAGGGGATGCCAGGGCAGGTCCATGCTCTGCCCTTCAGCACAGGGTGGCCACAGCAAGTGCTGGGCCCTTGTTTTCAGTGTCCTTTGCTTGAGCCCACGGGGCTGGCAGGACCGACCTCCCCCAAGAGGTGTCACAGGGCAGGAGGTAATTGAGCCTGTGGCAGCCTCCCAGTCCCATCAAGGAGCTGGCTGTGTGGGCCAGTAATGATGGGTGTGAGCAATGAGCATTCGTGGCTGGCGCTCATTAGAAGCCTCATTAGGGCATCTCTCCTAATTTGGAGCCCTCCAAGGGCGTTTTGCCAGGGTGAACTCCCTGTGATGCTGCAACTGGAAACCACCTTCCCCTTAATACTCACAGCAAAGACGCTGCAGCTGGTGCTGCTTGCTCCAGCCCAGCTTTGGGCACGTGGGATGTGTGTTCTGGGCACATTTGTGCAAACACCAGGGCACCCTGCACAGCAGTGACCTTCCCTTTGCCTTTGCAGATCAAACCCGTCGTCTCCCAGTACCTGAAGCAGAAGAAGCTGCCCTACAACGAGGACAGCTACAGCTCCAGGCTCTGGCTGTTCCTGCAGAGATACGAGGAGCTGATGGTCCATGCTCCCCCCATAACGGAGCTGGTGGGCATCCAGTGAGGACCACAGGGGCTGCAGCACCTGGGGGCTGTTTCCCACAGGGACATTCGGAGGGATGGTTTGTGCAGGAGCCAGCACCTCCATGAAGTCGTGGTGTAGGAAACATCCCTCCCTGAACTCTTGCTTTTGGCTAGGAAATGGTGCACAGAGCCATTGCAGGGGGAGAGCCGGGTGGTGCAACACCAGGGACACAAAAATCGGGGTTCCCCACAGTTATTCCCAGCCAGGGCTTACTTTTATCCACTCTGCTTTGACACTTGGGGAGAGGAAAGCACCCCATCCATGGAGGATGTGCCACCACGTCCAGGACATCCAGACCTGAGAAGCACCAGGATCTGCAGGATGGAGCTGCAGCTGTTTGTTTGGGGTCTCAGGGAAGGGGTGGATGTGGGAAGGGGGCTGTGTCACTGCTGCTTGTGCTTTGGGCTAAATCAGCCCCTTCTAGGAACAAAGATTTGTTTCAAAGACAAGTTCAGCCTTACCGCTTTGGGGTGGATTTCCTTTATCACTGTTTTTTTTTTCTGCTGGAGGATGTCTTACTGGTATCCTGTGGTGCCCAGGGCAGGAGTGGGGGCAGGACCCTCACCTGGGGGTGTCTGTGCTGAGGTGGCCCCTGCTCATTGCAGGAATTCATCAAGGGAGTGATCTGCCAGAGCAGCAGCTGTGCAGGGCTTGGGAGCTCTCCCTGTTTGGGGAGGTGAGCTCTGGCCCTGTGCTGCTGCTGGGATGCTCACGTGGCCACTTCAAGCTGTGTCTGTCTTTGCCAGGGTGCTCTGCTGCCCCAGCCCTGCCAGGCCCCAGCACTGCACAGGCTGGTTTTTGGTTCAGACAGCATCCAGGCACACCTCCTGTCGCTCTGGTCATGCCCTTACTTGCTGCTCTGAGGTGCGGGGTGTGTTCAAACCGTGGGCTCTGAGCAGTGCCCCGGCTGGAGGGGATGCCAGGGCAGGTCCGTGCTCTCATTCCATTGGGAAAGTGTCCCCAGCATTGCACAGTCCAGTTTTTGGTTCAGATAACATCCAGGGTCACGGTGGGGAGAGGCAGCAGAAGAGGCAGGTGGCCAGGCTGGGAGCAGTGTGCCTTTGCTCCCAGCCTGGGGTTTGCTCTGTGAGCTGTCCTCCCACCCGGGCTGGACCCCAGCAGTGCCACACTGAGGATTTGTGAGGCTCAAGGATGCTCAAGGATGCTGTGCCCTGCTCCTGAGAAGTGTGGAGCTGCAGCTGGGGTGGCCATGCCGTGCTCCATGGCATCCCTGAGCAGAGGATCCAGCCCAGGACAAGGAGCAGTGCTCCTGGATCTGCCCAGCGTGACCCCTTTGGCGTCAGAAATGTGGAATTATTGATTTACCCCGGGCTGGGGTCCAGGGGCTGGCATTGCCACCTCTGTCCAGGCCGTGTGGGTCATGGATCCAGGACACTGTGAAACAAAAAGGGCAAATTCCCATCCTCTGAGCAGGGCTGAGGCTGGGCCTGCAGGTGTGGCCAGAGCAAATGGCCTGGATGCTCTGGGGGGGCTGAGACCCTCCCCCCTTCCCCAGTTAACCCCAACTGAGCATCAGAGACAAGATAAATGTGACAAATTATGGGCATTCCCAGCTCCAGCAAGGACACAAGGGAGCATTAGAGGTGCTTTTGGTTCAGAGGTGCTTTTTGGATCAGGTGGGATGATCTTAACCTCACATGTTCCTGTTTGTGGGCACAAAATGCTCTTTTGCCCTCTCTGCTGCAAGGAGATCCAGCCCCAAAGTGTTCCCAGGCACTGGTCAGAGCAGCAGCTTTTTTCCCAGCTGGATTTTGTGGGTGTTGTTTAAGGCCATGCCAGCTGAAGGCAAGTGTTTGCAGGTCCCTCAGCCAGCAGGAGACAGCCTGTGATTTGGGAAAGGGATGGATTTATAAATTTATTATATTTAATAAATATATACTAAATAATAATATATTATTAATAATATTATTAATAATACAAAATATATAGTAAATAATAATATTATTAATAATACAAAATATATAGTAAATAATAATATATTATTATTTAATATCTATTTATTAAATATAATAAATAAATATTTAATTTATTTATTAACTGGTGGATACAGAACTTAATGTGGGAAAGGGAGAATTTGGGGGAAAAAAAAAAGGAGGATTCTGACGGATGTGCTTGGAACCCCCCGAATTTAAACCAGCTGCTTCTGTGGGTGACCTCTGTGGTGACATTTGGAGCCTTCAGCTCAGTGAGGGCTGCTGAGCTAGGGGTTTGGAGCTGCTGGAATCCCTGCTCCTCAGCAGTCCCCTGGCAGGGGGAGGCCCAGAGCCAGCTGCCATCTCCAGAAAGCCACCAACCCGTCCCCAAGGCCGGGAGAAGGAGTGTGTGAGTTTTATCATCCATATCACCAGCGGCTGCTGGCTGTAAACTCCTCACGCTCCTAATTTCATTTACAGAGCCCATCAAGGCCTGCCTGCTCTGGCATCTGGCCGGGTTTTGGATGTCTGCTGGGCTGGTGTTTCTGTCTGGGGCTGAACCGAGAGGGACGGGTGCTCCTGCAGGGAGTGAGAGCACCAGCACTGAACGTGTGATGGGGATGAAGGGGGAAATAAAGCAGAGGCCGTGGGGAGGCTGGGGCAGGAGTCCTGTCAGCATCATTTATCCACTCCTCTGGCATTAATATTTCACTTTTTATCGAAGCACGCTGGGGTTTCTCCATGCCAGAGCTGGGTCGCTGTGCAGCCCGTGGCTGAAATCAGTGTGAGGTTTGTGGAAAACGCCAATCACTTGTTGTTGAAAATTTAAAAGTTTAATAGTAATAAAATGGTTATAAAAATAGTAAACTTATTTTAACTACAAAAGTTACCTTTTTGCTATGAAACTACATTTACCACAGTATTAAAATGTTAACACAGCACTACTCAACACAACTTAATGTGTAAATATCTGCGTAGAGCCATATAATATGCTTATAACTTATATATATATAAATATTATATATATTATTAATTTAATATTATCATATTAATAATATTATTATATTATTGATATAATAACTTTTCACAGGTTCGCTTTCCCCGGCGGAGCTCGGCAGCTGGGCGCTTTTTGGGCGATGCAGGGGCGCAATTAGCACCATTGATGATGATGATGATGATGATGATGATGATGATGATGAGAGCGCCCGGCACCGCGCCCGCCTCACCACAGAGAGCGCGGCGCGAACGGCCGCCAGGCGGCCCTTCCTTCCCGCCTCTCTATGGTAACCCCGCGCTTCCGGTCAGCCGCGGTGGAAACGGCGAGCTACCATTGGCTGCCGGCGCGGGGGCGGGGCCAGGGGTTATGCTAAACAAGGCCCAGTGACGCCTCACGATTGGTCGGTGCGGCGAAGAGGCGGGGCCTAGCGGCGGCGGGAGGAGGAGTTATGCTAAACAAGGCGCAGTGACGCCTCACGATTGGTCAGTGAGGAGGAGGGGCGGGGCCCGGCGGCGGCAGCGGAACGCGGCCCGGGGAGACGCGAGGGCGGCGGGAGCGGAGCGGGAGCGCCGGGGCTGCGGGCCCTGAGGCCCGTACTCCACCCGCGGGGCTCTGAGGGCCCCTCAGGCCCGTGCTCCACCCCCGGGGCTCTGAGGGCCCCTCAGGCCCGTGCTCCACCCCCGGGGCTGCGGCCCCTCAGGCCCGTGCTCCACCCGCGGGCCCCTCAGGCCCGTGCTCCACCCCCGGGGCTGCGGCCCCTCAGGTCCCTGCTCCGCCCCCGGCGCCGTGAGGGCCCTCAGGACCCCGGTGCGCGGCTTCGGCGCTCTCGGTTCTGGGGCTGTGGAGCAGTTGCCGGCCCCGGCCCGGCCCCAAGCGCCGAGGCCGCCGTGCTCAGCCCGCGGCGTGCCCGCCTGCCCGGTGCGGTGCAGAAGGGCCGGCCCCGCTCCGCTCCGCTCGGCCATGGCCGCGGCCCGGGCCGCGCTCGGTGGGTGCCTCGGTGGGCTGCGGGAGGGGCCGTGCAGGGGCCGTGCAGGCTCGCGTGGCCTCACGGCCTGCCTGTCGTTGTCCCCTGCAGGTCTGCGGCGGTGCCTGTCCTCGGCCGCCCCGGCGCCTCGGGTCTGCGTGGTGGGCAGCGGCCCCGCCGGCTTCTACACGGCTCAGCACATCCTCAAGGTACCGCGGTGCGACCTGCCCTCCGAGCGAGGCATCTCCGCCCTGCCTGGCTCCCAGCAGGCTCTGGGGTGGCTTGGTGGGCTCCCGGCCCTGCTCCAGCCGGGTCGCTGTTGTTGGGGGGCTGCTTGGGGCTGCCCAGACCCCACAAGGTCCTTCTGGGCCTCTGTGCTTGGGGTCGTCTTTCATCCCTGCTTTCATCCCTGCCCTGCCCCTGGGTCGTCCCTTCAGGGATTAGGTTGGCTGCTGTGAGTTCATCCCAAGTGACTTTTCTAGAATCAAATAGTCAGCAGGAATCTGCCTCGCTCAAAGCTGTTGTCACCCAGCAGGAGTGACATCAACTGTGTGTTTAAAGTGGTTGTGTCACCTCCCTCCTCCCCCCCCGTAGAATTAAGACACATGGGTGATGCTTTACCTTGTGTCTGCAAATTTCAGTGCTCTGGGCACTCAGGTCTGTTGGGAAATGAGAGCTGAACACAGAACTGGGCTACTGGCACCCTCCAGAGATCCAGCAGCTTAACCCCATCATTAAACCATGCTGTGTCTCTGGAACGTGTTGGAAAATAGCTGTTACTAAGCCTCAGGGACAAATTTCAGGGCTGCTTAATCTGGGGAAGAGGCCGACTCAAAATACAAGATAACCAAAGCCTTGCAGCCAAGATTCTGTGTGAGGCTGTGACCCTGAGGTGGCTCATCCCAGGGCATGGCCATCTCTGCTGGGGGCTGGGAGATGCCTGGCAGGTCCCCCAGCACCCAGGGTGCTGTGCTGGCTGCTTCCCAGCTGCTGTGGGGGCTCTCTGATCAGCCCCCCAGGTATTGAACCACCCAGGTTGGTGTGGAAAAGGAGCTCGGGTCTGGGTAGGGAGATGGAGCCCCAGGATGGACCCGGTGGTGGTTGGGGTCACTCAGTGCTGGCAGTAACAGCTGCAGCATCATGCTGCTGATGGAAAAGTCTGGAAGAGGCAGTGTCTGGCTGCTGCAGCCCATCCTCGTGCCCCGTGTTTGCCCCAGCTGCAGAGGGGTGTTGCTAGGCTCCCGTGACCCCTCTGTCCCCATCCCAGCTGTGCATTCCTTCTCCCTCAGCACCACGGCGGGGCCCTGGTGGACATCTACGAGAAGCTGCCCGTCCCCTTCGGGCTCGTGCGCTTTGGAGTGGCCCCAGACCACCCTGAGGTGAAGGTTGGTGCTGCCTCGCTGCCCTGGCCCGGGTGGGTGAGCGTGGGGACAGTGGTGGGTGCTGCTGAGCTGGTCTCTGTCCTTCCTGGCGTGCCAGGCTCTCTGTGGCACGGAGCTGGCAGGACAGAGAGGTCCAGATCTCCTCCTTGTCCATGCTGAGGCCATGGTGGCATGGGACACCTGGCATAAGGGCTCGGGACAGAGGGCCAGAACTGGGGGATTGGGATGGGAAGTGCTGGTCAGCCTGGTCTGGAGCAAGGCCAAGCAGCACAGATGGGTTTCTGTGTCCCTGGGCTGCTCATTGCTGCTGCTGTTTGCAGTCAGTACCTGTTCTGGGAACACACAGATCTCCAAATGGGGGCCGTGGAGTTTCCTTTCTGGGCAAGGAAAAGCTAAAACAAGGATTTCCCAACCATTTTCCTTTGTGAGTGCTTCCCAGGAGTGTCTGCTGTATCTGAGCTGGAGTGGAGGTGGTTGCAAGGGTAGGACACAGGAGATCCAGGCACAGCAATATCTTGCAATGGTTTCCTCTAATCCCTGGAGATCCAAAGACCAAAATGCCTGGATGCCTTTGTGTCAGAGAGGAGGAATGGACACACTCAGACCCTGCCCCAGCTGTTAAGGTGCTGTCTGTCCTGTCCCCAGTCTGAGTCCATCTGTGGCTGCAGGGCTGGGAGTGGTGGTTTTGCTGTGTAGCCCTGATCACTCAGAAGAAGCAGGCCTGGATGCCATCCTGCCCTGCATCCTCTCTCGAGGAAGGGCCTTTCAGGAAGGGTTGAGATGAGATGCCAGCAGAGGGGACCAGGTGGGCTGCAAACCTCACTTTTGGGAAGGAGTTTTCCCCTGCACTGGGGTTTATTCTGAGGGGCTGAATGTACTGGGCAGGTCCTGTCCTCCCCAGGTGGGTACAAAATATGAATTTTCCTTTCACCAAGGGTGGTGGAGAGAGTGCCAAGTCACAGCTGTGCTTATCTCCCCGTGAGTTATCTCTGGCTGTCGCTAGATAAGAGTCACAATAACTTGATTGGGAGGAGGCAGTGAAGCATCTCAAGGCTGCAGGGGACAGGCACAGGGGTCTCCTGTCAGCAGCAGGACTCAGCCCTGGCTGTGGGTGTAAGCCCAGCTCTGTGGTCTCTGCAGAACGTGACCAACACCTTCACGCAGACGGCGCGCTCGGAGCGCTGCGCCTTCTACGGGAACGTCACCGTGGGCCGGGACGTGACCCTGCCGGAGCTGCAGCAGGCCTACCACGCCGTGGTGCTGGTGGGTACCCAACCTCAGCGTCCCAGACTCCTGGGAAAGGGCTGAGGGGTTATTCTGCACTGGGAGCTCGGGGAGAGTGTTTGGGTGAGGTGTTTCTGGGTGCTTTGTTACCGTGGGAAACTCTGCCCAGCCTTGGGACAGCTCTGGTGCTCCCAGGCTTGTCCAAAGCCCCGTGCAAGGGGCATGTGCTGAGCTTGGCAACAAGTGGAGGTCTCTGAAACCTCTCCCTGTGCTGGCCAGTGCTTATTTTAGCCTGCCATGGACTTGTCCTTGCTGCTCAGTCCTCAGCTTGTCATGCTGTGCCTTGGACCAAGGACGTCAGATTTGGCTCTGGAGCCCAGGATGAGGAGGTGGATGAAGCCCCTGTGCTTGGGCTGTGTTTAGCCCTTCCACCAAGTATCTCAACCCTTGGGAGGGGATATCACAGCCATACAGTGACCCTGGCAGCAGCTGGAAGGGGAGATTTGTGTTTTAGTGTCAAAGCCTGCACATTGTGACATCTCTGACTGTGTCTGCTCCCTCCTCAGAGTTATGGTGCTGAAGACAACCGGGTCCTGGGGATCCCAGGGGAGAACCTCCCTGGTGTTTACTCAGCCCGAGCCTTTGTGGGCTGGTACAACGGGCTGCCTGAGAACCAGGACGTGAGTATGGCCCTGTGCTTCCCTGCCCTTCCTCCCATCCTTCTTTCCATCCCAATGCAGGCATTCAACTCCAGATTAAGTCCTGAAAGGCCTGCAATTGGAAGAGATTAGCAGGAGCCATGTTAAATCCTTCTTAGATGGTAGAAATGTGAACAATTTGCACATCAGTGAGAGTGGATTAGTTGGCAGCACATTTTGGCAGGGCTAGATGGGAACATGCAGGGGTGATGCTCTCCTTCCTGGGGAGGCTTTTTGGCCAAAACAGCTTCTGCCCCCAGGAGGGCAAGGAAGGTGGGAAGAGGGTGCCTGGAGCAGCTGTTGCTGTGTCTGCTTGGGGAGGAGGCTGGTGTGGAGTTTCCCAATCTGCATCGCCTCTTTTTGGGGCAAATCAGGGTGAAAAGGAATTTGGGTGGTAGGAGCGGGTCTGAAGGGCTGGACATAGTGGAGGCCATGTGGATTCAGTCACAGCTGGCTCTCTCCCCACAGCTGAAGCCTGACCTGAGCTGTGAGACAGCGCTGATTCTGGGCCATGGCAACGTGGCACTGGACATTGCCCGCATCCTGCTGTCCCCACTGCAGCTCCTCAGGGTGAGTGGTGGCTGCTCTGCCCCGTGAGGGCAGCCCTGAATTCCCTCCCTGCTGGGTGGCTGCTGGCTCCCACCCATCTCAGATAAAACCTCACATTGCTCTGTTTTTGGGACATTTCCCTGGGGAAGGCTGCTGCCTCTCAGGTGCACCCATGGATTCACAGTCTGTCTTTCCCGGGCTGCTGCCTCTCAGGTGCACCCATGGATTCACAGTCTGTAGAGAGTGATCCAAGGCTGTGGCCATGATGCTGCAGAGGGCTCTGGATTGCTCTGCTGGCATCCAGAAAGTTGCAAATTGAGCAAAGCAAAAGAGGGGTCACTTTCTCTCTTCTGCCACCAAACCAGAAACTTCTGTTGGTGGTTATCTTTTTCTGCTGGAGCTGAGGACAGCAGCCTGGCTCCAGCTGGTGGCACTGGGCAGAGTGGTGGGCCTCATCCCTACAGACAGCTGGGAGCTGGTGTGCACCAGCTGCTCCATACAGCTGCTGCCCCAGATGTTGGCAGCAAGGCGTTCCCTCTGGGAGAAATGCCACAAGGTTTGTTACAGCTGTGCAGCAACTTCCTGTATTAATATCTAAATTAAATTTTAAAAGCCCCCAAACTTGGAGACACTGCCAACCAGTGACTCAAGCCAGCTGGGAGCAGTGCTGCAGGAGTGATCCAAGGCGGTCATGATGCTGCAGAGGGCTCTGGATTGCTCTGCTGGCATCCAGAAAGTTGCAAATTGAGCAAAGCAAAAGAGGGGTCACTTTCTCTCTTCTGCCACCAAACCAGAAACTTCTGTTGGTGGTTATCTTTTTCTGCTGGAGCTGAGGGCAGCAGCCTGGCTCCAGCTGGTGGCACTGGGCAGAGTGGTGGACCTCATCCCTACAGACAGCTGGGAGCTGGTGTGCACCAGCTGCTCCATACAGCTGCTGCCCCAGATGTTGGCAGCAAGGCGTTCCCTCTGGGAGAAATGCCACAAGGTTTGTTACAGCTGTGCAGCAACTTCCTGTATTAATATCTAAATTAAATTTTAAAAGCCCCCAAACTTGGAGACACTGCCAACCAGTGACTCAAGCCAGCTGGGAGCAGTGCTGCAGAAGACATGGCACTGGTGTGAGTGCCAGGGTGGGCAGGTGGTTCCCTGATAGCAATATTGGTCTGGAATGGTTTGTCCTGGTTACCTTGTGTCTCTCTCATCGTGTTTATTCTGGAAAAGATCTTGCAGTCTAGATAAGCAGACATGATTGGAACAGAGCACAGGATTTCTGTGAGGTGCCAACGCCAGGGTGAGGCCTGGCCATGCTTGTGCTGGAGCTGTCTGGGGCAGACAGGGTGATTTGAGCTGTGGTTTGCAGCAGGTTTCATCCAGAGCCTGTATATCCTGAGCTGGGAAGTTCCCCAGCAGCATCTGCAGGCAGCTCAGAGCACTGAAGGCTTTGCTGTGTTAGCCCCAAGGTGAAGCTGCTGGGTGGATCCCCCGAGGCAGTCACGGGGTGCTGGCTCGTTACCTCTGGTGCATTATGGCCTCAGAAAGAACATTCAGTGATGAGGGACCAGCTGTGCAAATAGCTCTGTGCAAAGGGCGATGACTTGTTTCCCGGGCTCTCTGCATGCACAGACAGCTTTTCTGCTGATTTTTCACCTTCAGAGGCTGTGCCTTCCCCCCAGCTCCCTCCAGATCTGCCCTCATCCCACTCTGCTGTCTCTGTTTTGCAGAAGACAGACATCACTGACAGCTCCCTGGCAGCTCTTGCCTGCAGCAAGGTGAAGCGTGTCTGGCTGGTTGGGAGGAGGGGACCTCTCCAAGTTGCTTTCACCATCAAGGTGAGGCTGGAGGTGCTGCTGTTTCCCAGAGCTGAGCCCCAAACTGTCCCTGGTGGGGAGTGGTGGTTTGGGGGTGAGTGTGGATCCCAGCCATCCTCCTTCCTGCACCCATTTCCTGGCTCCTAGGGCTTTGGGGCTGTCCTCTCTCTGCTGCAGGTAACATTTTCCTGTCCACAATTCCCAGGAGCTGCGGGAGATGATAAACCTGCCTGGTGCCAGAGCTGTCCTGGACCCTGCTGACTTCACAGGCCTCGAAAGTGCTGTCAAAGGTGAGGGAGGTGTGCCGTGCTCCTCCAGACAGGGACTCACCTTGGCAGGTGATCTGCAGGTGCCCAGAGTGCACATCAGAGACACTCTTGTCCTGTACTTAATGCCAGGCTCATGAAGGCTCAGTTACCATGGTGTGTCATGTCCTCAGAGTGCCAGGAGGCACCAAGATAAGGGAGCACTGTGTATCTCTGTTTGTGCAGCCACTTAGTGCTCACACTGAGTGATGAGGGCAGGAGGCTCAGGAGGGCTGAGGGAACCTTGCAGGGGAGATCCCAAGGCTGTTGATTTAAGAGCTTCCTGTAGACCTAAAAAGAAAACACTGAGTTCAAGGGTGTCCAGAGACCTGCTTTTCTCCATGGGCTGCTGCATCCAAGCACCAGCAAGACAGGAAATTGCAGACTTTGATTTGTGTGTCCCACTGGCCTCAAGCCTCAGGAGGTCCTCTGGTCACTTTGACTTGCAGTTTGTCATCTCAAAGGTGTCAGGCTCCCACCAACATGACAGACTCACATACTGACACTGCCCTGACACGGCCTTGGCCCAGTGCTGTGTCTCAAGGGGCTTTTGCTGATTCCTGTTGTGAAGATTTCTCTCTTTTCCTAGATGCTCCCAGGCCCAGGAAGCGACTGACTGAGCTGATGATCAAAACAGCCCTGGAGCAGCCAGTGGAGATGCAGGCAGCAGCAGGGGCAGCAGCAGCAGGGGCAGCAGCCCCCAGGGAGTGGGGGCTGAAGTTCCAGCGCAGCCCCCAGGAAGTGCTGCCCAGTGCTGATGGGAGGAGGGCCAGGGGCGTCCGCATGGCCCTGACCCGCCTGGAGGTACCGGGGCCTGGGAGGCTGGAGCAGGACACTGGGAATCTCCCCAGAGACAGCTCTCTGTGCCCTGCCTGGCTGGAGTGGCCTCTGGCAGGCTCTCAGGGAATCTGGTACCAAAAGAGCTTCTGGTACCATGCAGAGTTTTTCCAAAGGGAGCTCTTTCCCTGATGCTGCTGCAGAGTGGCCTTTAGCAAATACCCAGGGGTCAAAGATGCCACAGGGCACTGGAGGGGGCTGTTGCTCTGCAGTGGTGGTCAGCAGCCTTTTCCTCCCTCTCTCAGGGCTCGGGTGACTCTGCCAAAGCCGTTCCCACTGGAGCTGTGGAGGATCTGGAGTGTGGGCTGGTGCTCAGCAGCATTGGCTACCGGAGCCTGCCGCTGGACCCGGCCGTGCCCTTCGACAGCCGGCGCGGGGTCATCCCCAACAGCTCGGGCAGGGTGCAGGGAGTCCCAGGTCTGGATCCACAGGGATGTGCATGGGACATGCTGAGCACAGCTGGTGGGCTGGGGGGCTTTGGGGTGGGAAGTTCATTCACCCAGGGCATGGATATTGCACACCTTGGAGAGTGGAAACTGGGGGAATGAGCTGCCTCTGGGAATGAGCTGGCCAGTCTCCATCTCTTTAGGGCTGTGTGTTACTAAAGTGACAGGGGTTAAGAGCTGGCCAGTCTCCATCTCTTTAGGGCTGTGTGTTACTAAAGTGACACAGCCTGTGCAGCTGGTTAGTGCTGATCTGTAGGTTCACAAATTCCTGTCACAGCACTGTCTAAGGGTCTGTTCACGTCACCAAGGTGGGGAAGAGGGCAGGGACTTGCAGCCAGAAGGGTCCAAGGCCACATGCTGACCTGAGCCTGGCTGCTCCCTGTGCCCTTGCAGGTCTGTACTGCAGTGGGTGGGTGAAGAGAGGACCCACAGGCGTGATCATCACCACCATGAACGACAGCTTTGACACTGCCCAGTCTCTGCTGGAGGATCTCCAGGGGGGTGTGCTGGATATATCCCCCTCCAGAGAAGGCTTTGGGCTTGTGGAGAGCATCCTGCACAGCCGAGGTCAGTGCAAGGCTCAGTAGCAGCCAGCAGGAGGGTTCAACTCAGCCAAACTCCCCCTGGATCTGTGAGGGAGCAGAGTCTGAACCATGGGAATGGATTGTTCTGCTGTTTTGGTGTTCCAAAGCCCAGGGAGAACAGGGCTTGAATTCTCTCAAATATCTGTGTCATTGCTAAGGTTAATGACCACTTTCTGGGAAGGGCCAATAAAAGCAGCACAGACCTTGGGTAAAATGTCAGTGTCAGCTGCAGAGACAGTGAGCTATTGCTCTTGAGTGGTTTTCCTAGTAATCCTTCCAAGCAAGTTAGGGGAAAGATTAAAATGCCCAGGAGAGTAATTTGCTGTAGCTGTGTTTAAAGACATTCAATTAAAGTGTGTGTGTGTGTTTTGCCTCTTAAACTGTCTGAGGTTTAACAGTGAGCTGGAAGCCTTTTGTCCCCCGAGGTGGTTTGTGCTCTCTGTTGTTATGGCTCACAAAGGTCTGACTGATCCGAGCCGACTGGAACCTGCCACCCCTCTCCTTCTGGTGTTAGGAATTATTTCTCCTTTGCAAGGCTGAGCTGTGACACTGTGTCAGAAAAGGGCAGCTTTGCTGCCACATCAGGGCCCTGCCAATGGGGAGCTGAGGCTGAGCTTGTTCTTACTTGGTTAAGTTCTCTCTCCTGTGTCTCACCATCACCCCAGGGGTCCGTCCTGTTTCCTTCTCGGACTGGGAGAAGATTGATGCTGCTGAAGTGGCAAGAGGCAAAGCTGCTGGCAAGCCCCGGGAGAAGATCGTGGACCCTGCGGAGATGCTGCAGATCATCGGGCACTAGGGCAGCACGGTGGGCACTGCCCCAGTGGTGCCATCCTGGGGCACACTGCTGGGTCATGAGCAGGGCCTGGGAGCACAGGGCTTGTGTCTGGGGCTGCTGGTGGCTCTGGAGGGGTGTGTGACACTGGGGCCTCTCTGGTAACAATGAACTCTGTGTTCCCAAAGTCTCAAGGCCCGAGGCTGTTGGCTGGCCCCACATCCCTGCAGCCAGCTGCTGTTTCCAGGGGTGATTCTTGTCTGTCTTTGAAGCATTAATGAATCATGCAGTGCAGGTGAAGGGAGGTGTGTGTTCACCTGGGACACTCCTGGCCAGCCACATGCAAGTCACATGGAGAAGTTGCCCTGTGTCTTACTGCCTCCCCTTAAAGCCACAAGCCAAATGGGTTTGTTGCCTTGTCATTCATGCCAGAGTAGGCATCTTTTAATAATGACCTTTTTTTTTTAAAGAAACCCTTCCAGGGAAGCCAAAATGGACCTACAACTTGAGTCTGGGTTCTTTGTCTGCCACTGCCTTAACCTTGGAGCAGCCCCCAAAGTGCTGAGGCTCCTGCAATGTCCCAAGGCAAGGCAGCTCTGGGGGCTCTCTCTGTGAACTCTACACAAGCAGAAAAGGGCATTAATTTGCCTTGTACTTCCCCCAGTTAATTTGCCTTCTACTTCCCACAGTGTTTTATGGGATAGATTGGGATAACAAGCATGTAATTGCATTGTTGAGGATCATGAGGGACCCCGTGTCCATTGGTACCTGCCAGCGCTGACTGGTGCAAGCAGTGCCTTGAGCTCTTTCTCTCCTTTCACTGGTGGGGTTATTTTTTTTTTGGTCTGTGTGTTTTGAAGCTTATTAAATGCTTCTCTTAGCCCAGATTGCCTACGGTGACGGTGTCAGGTTTTAAGCCAGATTACAAGCCGTGAGCTGTAATCTCCTTTATCCGTGGCGCAGGGGCAGCGTCAGCTGGGCCCCTTCCCTGGCTGTCCCCAGCCCCCCCTGCTCCCTGCCAGAGCCCTGCAGGATTGCAGCCCCTCCTCCCTGGCTTTGGAAATGGTGACAGTGGCAGTGGCTGTGATGGAGGCAGAGGGGAAATGGGGCTGGGGCAGCCTCCACTCAGCCCAGCCCCTCTCAGGGCTTGCCCACAGGGTACTGTTCTCTCACCTCATCTCTGTCTCAGCTCAAGGAACGGAGATCTCTGACTTCTCCCTATTTTTCCCTTTTTCTCTCCCATACTTTTCTATTTAAATCTCATTTGAAAGCTCATTAAGAAACTCAGGAAATGTGATAATGGGAACTCGTACTCAAACGAGCAATAAAGCTTTTGTGGAACAGCTGTTTGTGTGATGTGGCTCCTTACGTCTCGTGGCTGATGCAGTCTGATGCTGAACTCTCGAGCAGGAGATTACATCAGTGCTGGGTTCCGAGGTGAATCAGAGCTTTGGGAAGGGGGAGGGTGTGCAGGCGAGGGGGCTGCACCTACCACGGGGAACAGCAGCTCAGGCTGGCAGCCCAGCCAGGAATGTGACAGCAAAGGGGTTGTTGTGGCTGCACCAGATCTGAGGGTTTTGGGAAGGAAGGAGAAGGATCCTCCCCAGGATTTTCTTCCCCATATCCTTGAATGTTGATGCCAGGGTGCTTTTGTAGCTGTGGAAAAGGCCACTGTGTTTGTGCTGAGCCTGGCACGTGGCTGTTCAAACTGAGGATGCTTCAGGGTAGTTCTTGGGCTGTGGTAACAGATTAACGGGAGCCTGTCCTTGCTGAGCTCAGTGACTTTGCTCAACCCTGAACTTGGCCAAGGCCCTGGGGTTGATGCTGCTCTGTGGGAAAACCATGGGACGATGAAGGTCAGTGAAGGGCAGGGACAGGGGCCTGAGCCTCATGGGCAGAGGGAGGATGGTTACAATCATGCAAATTCTTATTCAGCGCTTCCAGCTCCCTTTGCTCGGCTGCCTACGAGCCCAAGCCCCAGCCCTGTGTCCACGTTTTTTCTGCCTGCCCATCGCTGCCGCTGCCCTGGATCCTGCTCAGGGCACCGTGCAGCACCGGGGGTCCTTGTCCCGCCGCCGCGACGTTAGGTGGCGCTGGGCGGCTGCACGGGCAGCGGAGGGGCCGGGCTGGGCCGGGCCGGGCTGGGCTGGGCCGGGCTGGGCTGGGCTGGGCTGGGCCGGGCTGGGCCGGGCTGGGCCGGGCTGCCCTGGCACCCCCGCTCACCCTGCTGCCCCCGGGCTCCGGGCAGCCTGGCACCGGCTTCTGCTTTTAAACCTTGCGTTTGCCCCAGGGGTGTCCCCGCCGCGGAGAGGGCAGCCTGGCTGGGCAGCCATCCCCTCCGCTCTCCTGGGCTGCCCCAGGAGCAGCTCCAAGGCCATTTTCTGAGCAGGTGAGGAGCTGGAAAGGCGATGCTGCGAGCGACACCCGCCTGCTGTTGGAAAGGGGCCTGAAACACTGGAAATCGTCGCTGCCAGCTCTGCATGTGGATTGCCCTGCTTGGATGAATTATGGCTCAGCTTAGCTTTAATGAGGCTGCACAAAGCTGCTGGAGGTCAGCATGTGGTGAGCGATGGCGCTGGGAGTGGCTGGACACGGCTCCCTGCTCCGTGCTTCCCCTGCTGTCCCCGTGTGCCTCTCTGCAAGGCAGCCAGGCTGGCTGTGGGGCCGAACTTGTCACACTGTGGGGCGATGGCACGGTTCCATTTGGGTCTTTACAACTCCCTCTTGTAGCTTTGCACTGCCGTGCCTCAGTTTCCCTGTCTGAAGACTGTCCAGGCAAGCTCTTCAGGCTCGTGGGCTGCCTGTGAGCTCCCGCCTTGGAGCAGCAGGTCTGACACACCCCAGAAGCTCCTGTTGATGCTTCGTTTTCCAACCACTCCCAGAAGACAAGTGCAGATCTCCCACTGGCTTTGCTAGCTGACTGCCTGCTGAAGTTGGCCTTTTCCAATGAGCATTTAGAGCCCACAAAGCAGGAGGTTTCCTGCGCTCTGGAACAAGGGAAAAACCAGCTGGAGTTGGATCTCTGGCCTGGCACTGAGGAGCTGCGTTGCTGTTTAAAAGCCAGCTCACGCGACCAGAAAAATGGTTGAAAAGGTTTTTCCCCAGCGTGGCTAACATGGATTTTCCAGCCCCATCCCAGAGCTGGTGGCGCAGAGGAATCATTCTCCACATGAATCACCAAACTGCGGCTGCCGCGCCGGGGCCTCGCCGGGAACAGATGGCTCCAGGGAGTGCTGGCTCCAGCGCCTTGGCTGGGCACAGCTCTGCCCTGCCTCAACCCACCCTCGCTCCCTGCTCTCCCAGGCACATCCCCCATGGGCTCTTCCCCTCAGATCCATCCCAGCCCTGGGCAGGGATGGGGAGCGTGTTGGCATGCCGGGCTCTGGGGTCGTTGGAGTGGGGTACCAGCCCCGCTGTGTCCAGGAATCCACTCAAGGGACAACATCATCCCTTCTCCCAGAGGACCCCAAGCACGTCCTTGACTCCAGACCCACCACAGGCTCGTGGTTTCCATGCCCAGTCTCACAGATCCACCCTTGCCAGGGTTCTGCACTTGCCAAAGTCTTGCTCGTGGTTGAAGGGTTGTGCAGGGTCAGGTGGTGGTGCTGCAAGTCCAGATGTTCTCCCTCTGCTTGGGATGAATGACTTTGGAAATTGGGACTGCATGAGCCCGTTTCTCAAGGTCAAGAGAGGAGCAGAGGTGTAGGAGATGCAAACTCCAAGCAGCTGTTTCCAGGAGTTATTTAGGGATACGACAGCGGCAAATGAAGTTGTTGGCGGGTGATGGCTGGTTACGGCCCAGAAAGAAGTGACTTCCTTCCTTCCTGGGAAATTTCCATTTCCAGCAGCTTTGTCTGCCTCATCCCCAACATCTGGGGCAGCCCTGCAGGCACCTGCCACCCCAGGGGGAGGAATTAGCCCTGCAGAGATAAAACCATCCCTGTTTATTTTTGCTTCCTTCATTCCTGTGAGGGCAGGACATGGTGGCAGCAGAGCCGTGCCAGACTGGAGCTGCACCAGACCCGTGCCAGGCATGCACCATGCACAGCACCAGCCCCGTGACCTCTGTCCCACCTTTCTCCCTGCTCCACTCTCTACCTCGATTGCTTTTGTGGCTGCTGGGACCCAAGACACCAGCCAGCTGTGATTATTTAGCACTAAAGCCCTGAATCCTCGGGGGATGGAGCAGACAGGGGAGGTAGGGAAGGAAGGGTGGCCCTGTCACCTCAAGGTGGCACAGGGCAGAGGAAGATCATGTACACCTATGTCTACATCTTAAGTGAGACCCAACAGGACAGGGACAGGAATAAGAGCACCTGGGCTCAGACCTTCTTAGGTTTGGCCAGACTTCTTGGGAAGGAGAGGTTGGCAGGCAACAGGAAGGACTGAGATGCATGCAGGAGTGGGATGGGTGCAGGGCAGGGAATGGGTGGAGGTCTGTGGTTAAATCCTACGTGTCACAAGTGTCACCTGCAAGACTCAGCTCTGGCAGAGGGACCTGTGGGCATCTGATGCCAGATGCCATCAGCGGGGTGCAGATGCTTGTGGGGACGGCCAAGAGGGCTGTGTCACCCAGATGCCACCCTGTATTTCCAGGGGCAGCTCTGGCTTTGTGCTGGCAGTGCACAGATGCAGGTCCTCCCCTTCCCCAGGTACTGGTCTGGGATGCACACGGGTTAGAAACCCTACACTGATTTTCTCCCAGGAACAGGAGGCTGATGCTGGGGTTTGCCTCGCAGAGCTGGAGATACCAAAGCCTTGCTGTGCTGCTCTCCTGGCTGGGGGTGGGTGTTTTGGGAAGGGTCTGGGGTGCAGGTTTGTGCTGGAGGTGGGGGTTCCCAGGAGCTCTGCAAGGCTGGAGTTTTGGGGGAACCAGCATGGAGGGGCTGGGGCAGGATGGGGGCTTTACCCCAGTTTAGGGTGTGAGATGCCAGTGGGGCTCTGAGGAGTCTGCATGGAGCCCAGGGCACTTCTCTGACTGGTGCTGGCCTGGATGGGCCAGTGCAAACCTGGACAAACACCAGAGTCCCAACAGGAGCCTTCCACGTTCTCCTTGCTCCCCTGGCCTGGCTGCCGGCGCGCTCTTCCCCGCAGGAGGTGGCTGCACACCAGGAGCTGCCAGAGCACCATGCCTTGCATTTATCAACCTGCTTACAGAGCCTCCTGCAAGAGGAGATGCCAGGGAAAGGCAACGAGGCGATGGAGAGGCTGGCTGAGCTCCCTTTTGCCAAGGGACCAGCTGGGATGCCGAGGGTGGCACACGGGGCCACTTCCACAGCCCTGGCAAGGAGCAGGAGGAAGGTGGGGACCTGGTGCCTGTCCCCACCCAGCCCAGATGGGCAAAGAGGGCACAGCATCCCCTGAGAGAGTGGCACTAAGGGGCTGGGGAGGGAAGAGGAAAAGTGCAGCTGCATTTCCTGGGGTTTTGGGCTTCATCCCGGGGTGCCAGTGGTGCTTCTGTTTCAACCTGAACCTTTGCAGCCGTCAGGGCACTTTTCTTTCTTTCTTTTTTTTTTTTTAATATATAAAGGACTTCAGGTGTTTTAAATGCACAAATAAATTATTTTGATGATGCAGAACAGCCCCCACAAGCTGCATCATGTCTGGTGACCCAGACCCAGCAGCAGGATGGATTTGGGAACTCGCTGCCTGCTCCCAAAGAAAAGTGTTGGGCGTTTTGTTTTTTAAACACTGAAGGACTTTGCCAGGAAAACTGCAAATCTGCAGTAGGGCTCTCAGGGCTCACTGTGAGCCACTGGAGCAATGGAGAGGAGATGTGGCTGGGGGGCCTGGCATGAGAGTGTCACCACCAGTCCTTGCCCTGCACTGCTTGTCCCCACTTCCAGAGACCTTCCAGCTGTGAACCAGACTTGGGGTTTGTCTCTGTCTGTGGGCTGTGGTGGGGATTAAATGTCCCGTGGGATGGGCATGCTGGGGAGTCATGGATGTGATGGTGGAGCTGGTGTTGCCCCAGGTGTGCTGTGCTCCCCTCAGTGCACCTGGAAGCTCTGCTGGGAAGTTTTTGTGAGCCAAGAGCCTCTGAGGGATCCAGTCCATGGAGCAGTCAGTCCTGGGAAAGATAAATGGAGCCCCTGAGCTGCTGGAGGAGCAACAAAGGCATGGGAAGAGCTCAGTGCTCCCATGCCAGCCCCCAAGGACCAGACCCCTGGAACGCTGTCCCCCAGGCTCCGTCACACCCAGCATGAAGGCAGCAGAAAGGGTTAAATGCAGCCGCTGCCTCCTTCAACCTTAACCCAAGATGGGCCCTTTTGCCCACCTGGGAGAAGAATTTGAGGTGTTGAGGACCTGTTGCCACCCTTAAATCTCCCTTTGGGGAAGGGAGTGGACAGTGCTGGCAGAGGCTGGGGGAGCAGGACACGGCCAGCTCCTGCACCCCCCATTGCCCTGAGCCCTCACACGGCAGCAACCTGAGAGATCTGGCTGAGCTCTCCTGCAGAAGGGATTAAAATGTAGCCCTAGATGCATTTTTCCTTTTTTTTTTTTTTTTATTTTTTTTTTTTGGTACCGTTTCCACCCCCGAGGTGCCCCAAAGGCACCCACAGCACCTGGGCAGGAGGTGGCCAGGCTGTCTCGGGGACCAGGGACGGTGTGGGGAGGTCCTGCATCAGGCAGCTCCTGGCTAAGCCCAGACAGAACGTTTTCAGGCAAGCTGAAACCTCTCTGGAAACGGCCTCTCCAGGCCCAGCAGCCACAAGGATGCTGTTGCAGGTGGCTGCAGTGCCAGCCTGGGTGGCAGACACCCAACACCCGAGCTGTTTGGGTGGCCCTGTCCCTGGGGCAGGCAGAAGGGCAGTGCCTGGGCACTGCTGGAGAGGACAAGAGCTCTGGGGGTGGTGCCCAGGGTTTGGTGGCTCTGAGCTGGGACATGGGGAGGTTTGGGACAATCTGCCCCCACGGTGGGGTCTGAGCTGAGCTCCAACTCCTGCCAGAGCTGTAGTCCCTTTGCCCGCAGCCAGTGGCTGGTTTTGGGGCAGAGTGGCACCACGAAGGGACAAGGGAGCCCCAGCAGGGCCCCTGCCTGTCTCCCCCCTTCCTCTACGGCATCTCTCCCCTCTGCTGCCCCCCCGCCCCATCCCGTCCCCACTCCGGCTTGCTCTAAACCAGTGCTGCGGGATCAGCTGACGCTTTAATACTGGCGACAGCTGGAGGATGCTGCTGCCCGCGGGGGCTTTGCTCGGTGTCCCCCCCTCCCTGTGACCGATGGGGACCCCGAGGCTGTCCCGCACCGGCTGGGGGGCACCATGGCGGGCAGCTGGCCGCTACCCACCGGTTCAGTCAGCACAGGGATGGAAGATCTCGGCGGGAGGGAATGAGTCCAACCGCATTCCTCCAGCGCTCACCGGGGCTGGGGACGGGCACTGCCCAGAGAGGGAGTCTGTGCCATTTTACCGTGGGTTTTCCCTCCTGGAGATGGAGGAGAGGGGCGAAGGGAAAGAGGGGCTCTCACCCCCTTCTGTCTGGGGCAGCGAGGCCGGCCCCGGTGCCAGGAGAGGCGGGCCGGTTTCTGGAGGGAGGGCAGCCTGTCCCCCGTTCCCCCCCTTCCACCGGGGCTGGCGGCCAGCCCCGAAGTTGCGGCGAGGCGGGAGGACACACGTCCTGTCCTTCCAGCGCCCCCGGCTCCCCCCAGCCTCCATCCCCGCATCCCTCCCCCGGCCGTCCCGCCCGGGCAGCCCCGCCGGTCCCGGGGCGGGGGGAGATGGCTGCCGGGGCTCGCAGGAGACACCTGCTGCCACCGGGGCCCCCCCCGTGCGCACCCGCTCGGCTCCCGCTCCCTCCTTCCCCCGCTGCCGTCCCTGCCTCCCGCCGCCGCCGCAGAGCCGCCGCCGCCGCCGCCGCCAAGGACGAGCCGGGACCGACGGCGGCCGCCCGAGCCCCCCGCCAGCCCCGGGGGCTGCCCCGCGGGAGGAGAGGCCCGGGGAGAGCCCGGCCGCCGGTGGGAGCAGCCCCGCCGGCGCCGCGGGGCATGTAGGCACCGAGCAGCGGCGGTCCCGTGAGTACCGGGGGCACCGGGGCTCCGCCGCCGCCGCCAGCAACTTTTGGGGACGAGGCGGTTGTTTTTGCTGGGGTGGGGGTTTTTTCCCTGTCCGGATTGCATCCCCAGGGCTGCCGCTCCCCATGCCGGGCGCGGGACAGGGATTTTCTTTAATCCCGGCGCTGCTCTGGGGGGCTCTGGGGGCAGCGGGTGGCAGCAGAAATTGCGGAGAGCTCCCCGGGTGCCACCAGCCCCGTGTCCCCCGCCGCCACCTTGCGTAACCCAGCGGCAGGCAGGACACTTGGCGTTTATTTTTGGTTAATCCACATTCGACCTTTTTAAGCTGCGTGTGTGGGGCCCCGCCATCCCCCCGGCCCGCAGCCCCCGGCCCGCAACTGTTGCTGCCAGAGGTGCGGGCGAGGAAGGGGAGGGTGGTGAGGAAGAGGAGGGTGCGGCCGGGTGGTGAGGGATGAAGGTTGAAAGGAGACGGAGCTTGCCGGTGCTTCTGTGTCCCGAGTCATCCCCCCTGCATGGGGACAGGCATGGCGGTGAGGTGTCTTTGAGCCGGTTTTGCTGCTTTCTCCCCTTCGGAGGGGTTTCATCGAGGTCTCCTCGCTCCCAGGGATGTCCCCACCGGGGCAGTGACAAGCCCTGGTGCCCTCCTCTGTGCCCCCTCTCCTCCCCACACGGCTCCCACCGGCTTTGGCTTTGCTCTGCCCTTTCTGGCCATCAGCAGCAGTTCCCCATCCCCTGGCGCAGGCTGCGTTTTCACTCTGATTTCAGGCTCGGAGGCTTTTTTTGGGGGGAGATAAAGTTTCTCTTTCCTGAACGATACCTTGATTTTGGAATTTTATTTTTCCCATTCCTGAGGTCAAAGTAACTGCATGAGCTCTCCCTCTCTTGAAGCAGGGAAAGGAGTGAGGGCAAAAAAGGAGGTTTAAAATGAGGAGCAAACTTTCCCTGTTGCATTAAAATGGCATTTCAGGGTCTGGTGAGAGGTAAGGGTTCTGTTGGTGCCTTTAGCACAAGGTTTCTGTGAGTTGGGTGCACCAGGGGAAGGTGTGCCTAGGAAGGTAGTTAACCTGCTCAAAACTACCCCAAAAACAAGTGCCAAAGACACCAAGCAGCTTTGTGGTGTCCTCTGGTCCTTGGGGAGGCTGCCAGGAGGTGGCATTGCCTTGCCTAGGCTCCTGGCCATGGCCACCTTCCTCCTGACCCTGCCTGCCCACTGGCCCTCCACCCAGCTGGAAAACCTCCCTTTTGGGAAAGGCTTTTCCCAAGGGACCAATTCTGCAGTGTTTCCTACAAAGGGTTGGGAAATGTGGATTTTCTTTGAAGTTGGCAGGGGCTTGGCTGTGTTGTGCTGAGCCCAAGAGCAGCCCCAGCTCTGGCAGTAGCTCCAGAACGGGCTCAGTTTCTCCTCAGCCTCCACCACTTTCCTGCAATCTGTCATCCCCCCCAAAAAACCCCTAAAATTCTCCTGTGCCACCTAGCTCAGTAGGAGAAACCATGGGCTGGAAATGCGTGGTGTTAACTGGGCTGCAGGGCTGGCTGCCCTTTGCCTCCCAAATTTTTGGCCATTTTGGAGCAGCCCCATCTCCATCTCCCTCCATGGAGCCCTTGCCAGCCACAGGCTCTCTGGCCTTGGACCCCTCCATCCTCTTCCATGTCCACCAAAGGCTGCGCTGAGCCAGCCTGACTCTGCATGGAGCCACCAGGCTCCTGGCAAGGATGGAAATTCATTGCCCTGGTTGTCCCAGCACCGGCTGAACAACGGGATGAGCCCATCCCACCTCCCCTCTGCTGCTGCCATTGCATTCCAGCTGTCAGGGATGGGGACATTTTCCACCTGCGGCTTGGTCCGTGGGAAACCAGATTGCTCAGCCCTGTCCCCAGTCAGAGCCAGGAGCAGGGGGTGACAGAGCTTGGCATGGCATGACCACTGCTCTGTGCCTGGATTGCTCCGTACTTAGGAGGCTCCCGAGCTTAGGAAAGAGCTGAGTTGAGGAAGAGGAAGATAAAGTCCTGGAGTAGGTGAGGTGCCAGAGCTGGCACTAGCAAACCCAATCAATCACCACAAGGGCCCAGAGTATATTTAAACGTCCTTGAGGAGGGCTCAGACGGGCAGTGCTGCTGGCAGGGCGGTTCTGTTTGTTTTGGGTGGCGTGCTGCTCCCCTTCCTCTCTGCTTGGGTAGCTGATGCCGGATTCCCGATGAATTATTTATCACAGGACTAAAAATACTTGGGAATTCGCAGTGAGGAGCAGGCAGTGCAGGCTGCCCTGCCACGGAGCTGGCCGTGCCGGAGCATGGGACGCTGCCAGCATGGCATGACTCACCTGCTGCCCTCTCTGGCCAAGGGGCCCTGGCTGCGGCCGGCGCTGTGGCACCGTGGCTCCTGCAGCTCCACCAGCTGTGCTGTGCACTGGGGTGGCAGGTGCAGTCAGGCAGAGGGAGCCCCCTGCGTGGTGGTGGCTGCTGGGGGTGGATGATTCCCTGGTGAAACTCAGCGGGTTGAGGGAGATGCTGCTGGTGAGCATCAGTGCCCGGACAGGTGCCCAAGACTTCCCGGCAGCCACGGAAAATGTGGGGCTTGTGCTCCCTACAGGGAGCAGCCCCAGTGCTTGAATCTGCGCCGAGCAGCTCTTGCAGGGTGCCCGGCCCAGCAGCTGCTGGGTTTGTGTCCTGCATTTCCAGTCCAGCACGCTGGCAGTGTTTTTGCAGCGTGCTGACGGGGCGTCCGTCACTGCGGCACGCAGCAGTGTTGGGGTGCAGGTCACCGGGGCAGCCCAGACCCCAAAACCAGCCGGGACTCAGTGAGAGGAGCATCTGGCTGTGCTGGAGACACATTAAGCAACAGCAGCTTTTAATTGCAAGTGACGTTTCTTAGCACCAGCTGGCACCTTGCTGCATGAAGCAACACTGGTGTGTGGCTGGTGCCACTGTGGAGGGCTGCTTGTCCCCCTCCCTGCTGCCCCTGGGGGAAGTGGGGCTCAGAGGGGCTTGGATACCCCCCGTCACAGGTTGGTTTTGCTGGTGGTCTCTGAGAGGTGCACTGCAGCACAGGGGTGCTGTGGGCAGGGATGTGTCCCACTTGAGGGGACTGTCACCTCAACTGCTGCAGCATGAGCACCCGCTGGCAGTGGGGAGCTGGGGACCTGGCAGGGAGGATGTGCCCAAACAGCCCCTGAGAGCTGGATTTGGGGTTAGCCAGCACAGACACAGTGTGAAGGGTGTCCCATCAGGGTGGGCACTGCCAGCAGGGGACACACACTGGGGGTAAAGAGAAGAAGAAGGAAAGCTGAAGGATGCTGTGGAAAATTTGAGGGAAAACTTGGAGGTATGGAGCCAGATAGGTGCATTGGTTGGGATTTGTGGCAGAGAAGGGGCTGAAGGAGGATGATGGGCAGGAAACAGGCAGCGGGACAGGCAGGGGACCAGCTACTTCAGTGACTGTGATTTGCAAAGTCTCAACAAGCTGGGTGCAGAGCTGAACCATCCCTCAAGGGCAAAGCCTGTGAATATTGAAAGCGGCTGTCTGCTGCAGAGAGAGGCACCAAAGAGCTGCCAGCCCCTCCTGGCATCTCTTGCAGCTGTCTCTGTCCCTGGCCGAAGGGATGACATGGACCAGTGTAGCAGTGGTGGCTTTTGGATGGGGTGGGAGGGCAGTGGGAGGGAGATGGTGATGGTGAGGTGAGGACAGGGTGGTGGTGGGAAACAGGGACTGGCTGTGAAGGGTTGGTGGCAGGTAAGACTGGAGACAAGTGACACAGCACTGAGGTGTACAGTGGTGAGTACAACCCCGTGGTCATTCCTTCACCACATCCAGTGTCCAAAGAATGGAGGGTCCCTCATTCCCTGGGGTCAGCCCTCAGTGGTGATGCCCCAGGGCAGTGGGGAGGGCGGGGGCGAGGCGGGCTGGGGCTCCTGGTGTGCAGCTGGATGCGAGGGGCCGTGTCTGTGCTGGCAGGGACACGCTGGTGGACATGGGCAGAGCGCCGGCGCACGCTCTGCTGCTGTCGATGGTGCTGGGCTGCTGGGCTGCCTTCACAGACATCCTGCTGCCGGGCCCCGAGGAGCCCGTGGTCAACGTGGCCGTGGTGTTTGGGGGCACGTCCTACCCTCTGCACATCCGCTCCCGCCTGAGCCCCCAGAGCTTCCTGGACATGCCCCTGGAGATCCACCCCATCACTGTCGTCGTCAACAACACCAACCCCAGCACCCTCCTCACCCAGATCTGCGACATCCTCGCCGGCCACAAGATCCACGGCGTCGTCTTTGAAGACAACGTGGGCACGGAGGCCGTGGCCCAGATCCTTGACTTCATCTCCTCCCAGACCCAGGTCCCCATCATCAGCATCAGTGGCGGCTCTGCAGTGGTCCTGACCCCAAAGGTGAGGCTCTCGCTGTTTCCAGGGGGGATGAGAGACATGAGGAGCTGTTAGAGTGGGGTAGGTGAGGGATGTGGAGTGCTGGAGGGCAGAGGGACTGCTGCACTGCAGCCTTTGGGGTCGGGGGCAGGAATGGGATCAGTGTGGCCAACTGGGGTGGTGGGACATGGTGGGGACTTCAAGGAGGGGCCCCGTTAATGGGAGGGGACCTCAACACCCAGTGGAAGGACCTTCCCTGGTGTGCTGCTTCCTGTGCCACCACAGCATGCTGGGCTGGTGGCACTGCGGCTGCAGGGGCAGCAGCAGGGTTATCACACCCTTATCTTCCTCCTGCCCTGCTGGGGCTGGATCCAGCCCTGCAGGGGCTGTGAGGGCAGCACGAAGAGGCCTTGCTCAGGTGTGGCAGTGATCTCAGGTGCACCGTGGCTGGCACAGGATTTCTGCCTTCTCTGCCCCTCACTGATGCTGTCAGTTTACTGTGATCTGCCTGCTGGTGTCAGGGAGGGCTGGAACCAGGCTGGAGGCTCCTGGGCGTGGAGATTTGGGTTATCTCCTCAGCCTGGGTGCTGGAGGGGTTTCAGTGCTTGCTCTTTCCTGTGGCTGGAGATCCTGCCCTTATTGAGGGAACAGGTTTTGTGCTTTTCTTGCACAGTGATTTGGGGTCCGTCCCCCTGGATTGCACCCCCACAGCCCTGTCTGCACTCCCTGGTGCTCGTGGAGCACCTCGAGCACATGATGGATGGGTGGCAGTGGGTGCAGTGGGCTCTGGTTGGTGCAGTGGACTCAGGTGGGTGTAGAGGGCTCAGATGGAGCCCGGAGCAATGGAAAAATATCCATGGCTTTGCTGTCCAGGTGATTTTCTGCAGCTTTCTCCATTGACTGTGTATTTCGGGGTCGGTGGAGGGACCTGTCTCCTCCTCCCTGCCTGGGATTCTCTGGGGCTCACCCCAGACTACTTCTCTGGAGGTGGGGAGGGCCTGGGTGGCAAAACCTGCTGCCTGCACGTGACCTTCGGCAACTGCCATTCGCTGAATCATTTAAGACAGAATCAGACCAATTAAGGTTTGCTAATGAGAGGCCAGATGGCCAGGGAGGTGGAGCGGGAGGGAAGGAGCCACACAAGCTCTGGCTGCAGGTAGTGAGATGGAGCAGGGATGGGATTTATGCTCCTGGCAGAGCTTTCACCCACCTCCTTCTGATTTAAGGAGAAACTGATGATCTCCTTTGGAGGATGGAGAAATTTTTGGTCAATATGGTAAGAAATGGTGCAGGAATTGACCCTTTGCATGGGGTAAAGTTCTTTGGAGCAGTATTGGTGTGATTTTGGGTGTCTCCAGCCCATGGACCGCACTGGTTCATGGCAATCTTGAACACTTCATGATACCAAATTCAAGGAGGCTTGCATGGGTGCATGAGACCTGGATCATGGTGCCAGAGCAGCCCCTGATCCCTCTCCTCCTCCAGGAGCCCGGATCAGCTTTCCTGCAGTTGGGTGTCTCCATCGAGCAGCAAATCCAGGTGATCTTCAAGGTGCTGGAGGAATACGACTGGGGCTCCTTTGCTGTCATCACCAGCCTCTACCCAGGCTACAACATCTTCCTGGATGTCATCCGCTCCTTCACAGACGCCAGCTACTTTGGCTGGGAGCTGCAGGAGGTGCTCACCTTTGAGATGAGCCAGGAGCAGAGCAGCTCCAGGACGCAGCGGCTCCTGCGCCAGATTGACGCCCAGGTCCTCCTTGTCTACTGCTCCCGAGAGGAGGCCGAGTATCTCTTCTCCATGGCAGAACAGGCCGGGCTCGTGGGGCCAGGATACATCTGGATCGTGCCCAGCATGACGGTGGGCAACATGGAGGTGCCACCCTCCTCCTTCCCGGTGGGGCTCATCAGCGTGGTGACGGAGAGCTGGAAGCTGAGCCTGCGGCAGAAGGTGCGGGACGGCGTGGCCATCATTGCCATGGGGGCAGCCAGCTTCTTCCGAGCCCACGGCTACCTCCCAGAGGTGGGGCGGGACTGCTGGGCCCCCACCAGGGCCACTGCCACCAACACCAGCTTCTACCGGTGAGGATGGGGGACCCCATGGGGTGGGTGTGAAATGGGAGGAGTGGGGGAAAAGTGAGGGAAAGGGCAGGGGAGGAGGGGGATGGAGCTGGTGAGCAGCCAGGATGATGCTCACTGAGCATCTCCCCAGAGATGTCTCAGCATCTCCCTTGCCTTTTCCCATGTTTTTGGCGACTCAGGACCTCTGGGGGTCTCAGGGGGGTATCATAGCTCCGTGGCACCTCAGGGCTGCTTTGGCAGTCTGTGCATGCTCAGCCCTGCAGTGGGCCATCATCCTTGGGGCCTCCTTGCTAGGAGAGCTCTCTCCAGCTCCCCTCTGCCCCTTGCATGGGGGTTAAAGCTGGTCCCCAGATCTCAGCCCCACGTCTCCATGGGACCTGTGGCAGCCTGAGTGAAGGAGGAGGAGGAGGAGGGCTGTACAGTGCAGGGCCGCACAGCCAAGGGCTTACAGGCTCTGTGTCCCACCAGGCACCTTCTCAATGTGACATGGGAGCACAGGGACTTCTCCTTCAATGAAGGTGGCTACCTGGTCAAGCCCACCATGGTGGTGATCACGCTCAACCAGCACCGGCTCTGGGAGATGGTAGGACCCCCAGGCCCCCTGAAATGGGCACACTGTGGGGTGGCTGGGCAGGGTGAGCCTGGGGCCATGCACAGGCTGGGGTCCCACCCTGGGGTGGGTTGTACCATGCAAAACCCAAATCTACCATGGCTGGTTCCAAAAGTGCCCATGGTGCCATGGTGGGGGTTTGCAGCAATGATGAGCACCAAAGCTCTGGCAGGAGTTGTCAGTTTTCCTTGCAATTTGTCTGATAAGTTCAAAAAAAGTCAGAAATGCAGATGCCCACTTCTGGAAAACAGCAGCCAAACACCTAGATCTGAAACAAGATGCATGGAGGGTTTTTTTTGTCGTTTGAAAGTATTTTAGGTAAAGTTTGGCCAGGTTTGTGCTCACCCGAGTGTGAAGCTTGGGGCTCAGGAGGAAACACCTCACCCCAAGGTCCAGGGGTGTGTGGGGAAAGGGATGCTGAGATGGGGCTCACAAGGAACAAGCCCCAGAGGTGGGAGGATGGATATGGGATCACGTGTGACCTCCAGAGCCCCTCGCTGGGGTGACCATGTGCTCTCCCTTGGGGGCAGGTGGGCAAGTGGGAGAAAGGCATCATCCACATGAAGTACCCGGTGTGGCCCCGCTACGGCTCCTTCATGCAGCCTGTGGTCGACAACCGCCACCTGACAGTGGCCACCCTGGAGGAGAGGCCCTTTGTCATCGTGGAGAACACGGACCCCAGCACGGGGGTCTGCGTGCGCAACACCGTGCCCTGCCGCAAGCAGACCAACTCCTCCCAGAGGTGAGCTCCAGGGACGTGGGGCTCGGCCAGTCTGGCCCCCACTCCCCTGGCACGTGGTGTCCAGGGTGCTCAGAGCACCTCTGTTTGGTCCAACCCATCTTTCCTGGTGTGTTCCCAGCGGTGATGGCCTTGTGGATCCCTACACCAAGCTGTGCTGCAAAGGTTTCTGCATCGACATCCTGAAGAAGCTGGCCAAGGCAGTGAAGTTCTCCTACGACCTCTACCTGGTGACCAATGGCAAACATGGCAAGATTGTCCGTGGGGTCTGGAACGGCATGATTGGTGAGGTAGGGATGGGCATGGCTCAGGCTCCGCTTCGACACTCCCTGGAGGGCACCACTCACCCCTGGCCTGCAGCTTTCCTTGGTGAAGATGAGATTTGTGGTGGGACTGTGGGCACAGGACAGCTTGGCATGAGCTCCTCCCTGGAGGAGTCCTCAGATGAACACTTACAACCCTACAGCAGGTTGTGTCTGTGCCCCTGATCACTCAGGAAGCTAATTTTTTTTTGTTTTTAAAAAGGCAGAAATTAAGGCTGGAAATGCTGGAGATGAAGAAATGCCTGGGGAAAGTGGTCTGGGTCCCTGTGCTTGTCCCCGTGCCCATGCCAAGCTCACCTGCCCCTTTTCCAGGTGTACTACAAGCGTGCAGACATGGCCATCGGCTCCCTCACCATCAACGAGGAGCGGTCTGAGATCGTGGATTTCTCCGTGCCCTTTGTGGAGACAGGCATCAGCGTGATGGTGGCCCGGAGCAACGGCACCGTGTCCCCCTCCGCCTTCCTGGGTGAGCCCCGTGCCCCTCTGTCTTTCTGCAGGTTCATCCCACACTTCCTGCAAATGGAAATTGGAAATATTGTTCAGTTTTAACAACTTCCAAGGGAAAAAAAAGCCTAAGTCATAAGGGAAGGAGATTGTGCTGTCGGCTTTGGGGCTTCTTTCTTCCCTGCCTGAATAATCCTTTTATTATGGAGATGGAGGCTGGAGACTGAGGCTGGGCTCAGTGGTTTTCTCCTCTTCATTTTTTGTGTGGAGGAGGGAGGATGGGGATGTGGGAGGATTTGTTGGCTTGGAGCTCTGCTTTGGGGACCCATCTCTGCCACCGTCACCAGAGCCAGTGGTTAAGCCAAGTGGGAAACCGCCAGTGCTAAAAGTTTTATTTAATGAGTTTTACACCAGCAAAACTGCAGCCTAGGAAGGGGAGGAGGGGCAATGTCACCAGGAAATTCAGCTCAGGCAAAGCTCTCTGCACTCAGCAAGGGCACAGCAGCAATGTCCCAGCTCAGCTGGCACTGGGCTCTTGTGGGGAGGGTGCAGGTGGTACCAGGGATGCCATGGAAGCTGGACATCCTCCTCATCCTGTCCCCCCACACCACAAAGCCTAGACCCCACAGAAGCAGGGTCACCTTCACCAGCCCCAGGGACAGACGGAGCATCCTGCCCTGGTTTGGAGGGTTGGGTCTGCGGTCCCCACGTCCCTGTGTCTCCTGTCTCTGTGCTAGTGAGCCACAGCCCCATCAGGGGAGGCCTCTCCTCCCTGACAGCGAAGGACGTGCTGATAAATGGATCTCTGTGGCCACACGTTAAAGCATCCCCAGTGCTCCTGCTGCTCCATCCCAGACCATCTTGGGCAGGCAGGGACTCATTGCTTGTCACCACTCAGGGGGGCTCTCCCCAGGGCTGAGCAGGGCTGGGGGGCTGGTGCCTGATGCAGGCACAGTCCTGTGGCCAGAACCATCATGGGGGACAACCTGTGATCCCCTGGGAAGCCCTCCTGCAGTGACCCTGGAGATGGGTAGCATTTTGTAAAGATCCCCCTGTTAGTGAGAACCTGATTTGGTATAGGCAGGGAAGCACAGCTGCATCCCCTAGCTCTGTAGCAACCCCTTTCCCTCCTGATTCCCTGTGGAGCTGCTTGTCCATGGTGCTGCCAACCTCCAACTCCTCCACAAGGAAGGGCAATATTCAGGATGAGCCCCATCCATCCATCCATCCATCCATCCATCCATCCATCCATCCAGGAGGGCTCCTGGCAGTCCTCAAAGGATGTCCTTGGAGGCTCACAAAGTTCTACTTGCTTTGCAGAGCCTTACAGCCCAGCTGTGTGGGTCATGATGTTTGTCATGTGCCTCACTGTGGTGGCCATCACCGTCTTCGTGTTTGAGTACTTCAGCCCTGTTGGCTACAACCAGAACCTCACCAGCGGCAAGAGTGAGTTGGGAAGGTGGGAGCTGGGAGGGGGGCACGCCCCTGGCTGGGCTGACAAATGTCCCCTCTGTTCCCTGTCCCTGCAGGGCCGGGAGGTCCCTCCTTCACCATCGGCAAGTCCGTGTGGTTGCTGTGGGCTCTGGTCTTCAACAACTCAGTCCCCATCGAGAACCCCAAGGGCACCACCAGCAAGATCATGGTGCTCATCTGGGCCTTCTTTGCCGTCATCTTCCTCGCCAGCTACACAGCCAACCTGGCTGCCTTCATGATCCAGGAGCAGTACATTGACACTGTGTCGGGGCTGAGCGACAGGAAGGTGATCATTGGGGTGGGAACCCTAAAAAATCCCTAAAAAACCCCTTTTTGAAGGTACTGGCAGTGATGTGTGTGGAGCTACACATCCCTGCCAGCTGGCTGGGCACGAGTGCACGAGCAGAGGGCTGGCTGGGGAGGGGACATGCTGGGAACATGGAAAGACACGGGCACCATGTGATGCCACCCCCTGGGCTCCCCTTTGCAGTTCCAGAGGCCGCAGGAGCAGTACCCACCCTTCCGCTTCGGCACGGTGCCCAACGGCAGCACCGAGAGGAACATCCGCAGCAACTACCCCGACATGCACACCCACATGGTGAAGTACAACCAGCGCTCCGTGGAGGACGCCCTCACCAGCCTCAAAATGGGGTATGGCTCCCTCAGGTGGGGTACGGCTCCCTCAGGTGGGGTATGGCCCCTCAGATGGCGTATGGCCCCCTCAGGTGGAGTATGGCCCCCTCAGGTGGAGTATGGCCCCCTCAGATGGGGTACGGCTCCCTCAGGTGGGGTATGGCCCCCTCAGATGGGGTATGGCTCCCTCAGATGGGGTATGGCCCCTCAGATGGGGTATGGCTCCCTCAGATGGGGTACGGCCCCCTCAGGTGGGGTACGGCCCCCTCAGGTGGGGTACGGCTCCCTCAGGTGGGGTATGGCCCCCTCAGGTGGGGTATGGCTCCTTCAGATGGAGTACGGCTCCCAGAGCTCCTCCAAATGACATACAGCACCCCCAAATAACTATGGCTCCCTGGAATAGGGTACAGGACTTCCCAGATGGAGAAGGGATTTCTCAACTGGGGTACAACCCCCCCAGAAGGTGGATGTGAGCCCCCCAGGCTGGGTACAGCTCTCCCAGACAGGGTGTGTCTCTGCATCTTCCCTGGATGAAGTACAGGACCCCCAAACACGGCACAGCCTGCTGCAGATGGGATAGAGCTTCATACAGCTTCCCTCAAAAGGGATGCAGCTCACCCCAGCTGGGCCATGGCTCCCCCAACTCCCCCCAGGACTGGGTACTTCCCCTCCAAGCGTGGTTACAGCACTCCAGGATGGCTCAGGGACCCCAAGAGAACATAGAACCCTCTCCAGATGAGCTTTCTGAAAGGGACAGAGCTTCCCAAACAGGCACAGCCCTTTCAGACCCCCTGACCCTTCCTCCTGTTGGTGGGGCAGGAAGCTGGATGCCTTCATCTACGACGCCGCGGTGCTCAACTACATGGCAGGCAAGGACGAGGGCTGCAAGCTGGTGACCATTGGCAGTGGGAAGGTGTTTGCCACCACGGGCTACGGCATCGCCCTGCAGAAGGACTCGCGCTGGAAGCGGGCCATCGACCTGGCCCTGCTCCAGTTCCTGGGGGACGGTGGGTGTTGTTTGTGTGAGCTCCTCCTTAGCCCTGTCCCCATCCTGCCCCACCCCTGCCCTGCAGATTAACCCAGGGAACAGGGTGTTGGTCCTCAAATCCTGTGCAGCTTTCCCAGCTGACACCCTCATGGTAGGATGGCACTGAGGGACTTCACCAGTTCCTTTCAGGGGATATGAAACCCTCTGCATGTTGTGCATGTCATTCCCTCTGGGGTTGTAAAATCCTGAAGATGGCTGTGCACAACATTTGAGGGTCCTGAGGAGAAGCCTGGGAAAAGGACAGTAAGCATGGCTGGCTGGCACATGGGTGGGAAGAGAGAATTGGGAGAGTACCCTGGACCCTGGTGGGATGCTCAGGCCAATGGCAGCAGCAACATTAAGTGATTCCAACTCCAGAGGTTCAGGGATCTCTTTGTCCTCCTCCATCCACAGCAGGGTGGAAAGGGGCAGGGATGTGCTTGGGAAGGTGATTCCCAGGGGTGGATTTTCAACCCCTGCACTGTTATGCATGTCCCAGGTGAGACCCAGAAGCTGGAGACCGTTTGGCTGTCAGGGATCTGCCAGAATGAGAAGAACGAGGTGATGAGCAGCAAGCTGGACATTGACAACATGGCTGGGGTTTTCTACATGCTGCTGGTGGCCATGGGGCTGAGCCTGCTGGTCTTTGCTTGGGAGCACCTGGTCTACTGGAAGCTGCGTCATTCCGTCCCCAAGTCCCACAAGCTTGACTTCCTCCTGGCCATCAGCAGGGTGAGGAATGCTGACAGGGGCTTTGGAGGGGCCCAAATGTCATCACACGGTGTCACAGAGATGGACACGGCTTGGTGGGCATTGTCCTTGACCTGCATGGGAAGGACTGGAGGTGTTCTTGTTGATATGAGATCTTGGTGAGAAAAGCCAGCTTTTGGGGAAAGGGCTCAGTCCTGGGAATGACCCCACATCCTTATCAGCAACCCTGGGGGAAGGGGTGATAGAGAACAGTGTCACCCATGTTGACAAGTTCTGGGGATCCTGGGGAGGGAGGTGTCAGCTCTCTGAAGCTACCTCAGACTCAGCAGCATGAATTCAGCTCAGCAGGGTGAGCTCAGGGGGGCAGGACCCCACTGACCTTGCTGACGCTGGGGGGTCTCCATTTCTCCCCACAGGGCATCTACAGCTGCTTCAACGGGGTGCAGACCCTGTCGAGCCCCGGGCGGGCACCCACACCTGATGTCACCGCCAGCTCAGCCCAGGCCAACGTGCTGAAAATGCTGCAGGCGGCCAAGGAGATGGTGACGACGGCCAGCGTGGGCGGCTCGCTGGAGCAGGCCACCCGCACCATCGAGGACTGGAGCAACCACAGCGAGCGCCTCCAGACCACCTTCTCGCTGAGGACACCCCAGCTCGTGGTGCAGAACAGCACCGGCGCCCACCGCGGGGCCGCCCCCGGCCCGCACCCTGCCGAGAGGCTGGGCAGAGCACCCAAGGGTGCTGCCCCGGGGCTGCCGCTGCCCCAGCCCGTCCCCGTGGACTGCCGTCTGCACGGGGAGGAGAACTGGAGAGGGGAAAACGAGCACCCCCACCTGCTCCACCCCCTGAAGTTTCGGGGTGGCTGTGTAGGGGATGAAGCTGCCGCAGGCTTCCCCCACCTCCTGGTGAAGACTTCCCCAGGAGGGGATTACGGGGAGCACATGCTGGTGGGGAACCATGTCGGGGCTCCCCTCCCGCCCCAAACATTCCCCAGAGACCTCCCACCACCGGACATCTACAGGGAGCACAGGCGGCCGTCGGGACGGGGGGAGCGGCTGCAGAACAACCCCTTGCTCCGGAGGGACGGCACGCCCGGGGGCTCGGGCACTCTGCCGCGGCTGCTCTCGGCAGCGGAGAAGAAGCGGGAGGCGGGCAGCGCCTTCCTGCCTCCATCGTGCCCCCGCGGAGCCTTCCCCAAAGTCAGCAGGACTTGCAGAGCCCGGGGCGAGCCGGCGCGGCCGGAGGCGGAGCGGGAGCGGCTGAGCCGGTGGGCGAGCGCGGCGCGGGGCCCGGCGGAGCGCGGCGAGAAGCGGGCCGGCTGCCGCCGCGCTCGCCCGCCGCCAGGCTGCCGTCCTACCGGGAGGCTTGCCGGCAAAACCCCCGAGCCGCCTTCGCCTGCTTGAACTCCTGCGGCAGCCTGAACCTGCCGCTCCACGCGCGGCACCTGCCGTGCCGGGAGCACCCCGGGGTGCGGGGCCCGGGGCGCTGGGACGGCGGCTGCAGGGGCTGCGGCAGGCGCGGGGAGCTGGCCGTGCTGCGGGCGGCGGCGGCGGACAGCAGGGACGCGCTGCTGGCCCGCGGCGTGCCGGCTCCCTGGCGGCGGGTCTCCAGCCTGGAGTCGGAGGTGTGATGGGGGGACAGGGGGGTGTCCGCACCCCGCTGCCCGCCCTGTGCCCGGGTGTCCCCACGGGCCGGCCAGCGGCTCCCGGCCGGGCTCCGGCCTCCCGGCGTCCCGCACCGCCGGCAGCGGGATGCTCCAAGCGGCTCGGCGGGTCCCGGTGCGCTCTTTGGGGGAGTCGCAGAAGCCTGGCAAGGGCTGGTACGTGCTGGGTCGAGCTCTCCCTACAGGCGGGGACGCCAAACGCATCGCCGTCACGTTTTGGTTTCGCTCCAAGGACTCGAAACGCCATGTCTGGGTCATTAAAAAGACATTTCCAGCTGCCTGGGGACCCTTCTTCCATCCTCCGGGGCTGCCCTTGGCCTCATGGATTCCCGTGAATATTCGTTGTCCTGCGCACCCCTCCCCGTCCGTGTCTCGTTACTGCTGAGCCGCGCACAGGCTCGTCCCACCGGCAAGGGAAAGATGGAAAAGAAAAATGGCAATCGCTCCCAGGGTTTAATTAGGAGCCGCCAGCCCGTGCAGAGGCTGGAGCCGAGCACTGGAACCCCTGCTCAGGCTTTGGGGTGCCGGGCACCGATGGCCCTGGGCTCGGGTCAGTGAGTGATGCTGGCAGGGATCTCCAGCTCGGCACAGCAGCCCCGGGAAGGTGTGCTGTGAGGAATGAGAAAGGGAAAAATTCCTCCCACCTCCCCAGGCTGATGGAGCCATAAATCAGGTGTGATAGATGAGCCGGGTTTAATTCTTCTCTTCATGTACGTCTGACACAGCCCTTTCCCTGCCGGGCTGGGGCTCGACCCGTGACTCACAGGAGCCCCAGGCAGGGGAGAGGGGCTTTGGGGATGGAAACGGAGGCTGTGGGCACCCCCAGGGCTTTGCCGGGCTGTTCCAGCCCCATCCCAGAGCAGCACCACCAGAAACACACAGAGCTGCCCGTGACTGGCTGGCAGGCTCTCCCAGGGAGATGCCAACCCTCAGCCCCTCTTCCCAGCTTTGGCATCCCCTTCCGCCAAGAATGTCTCCCCGGGAAGCTGCTCTAGAGCAGAGATTTCTCTTCTCTTCTCTTCTCTTCTCTTCTCTTCTCTTCTCTTCTCTTCTCTTCTCTTCTCTTCTCTTCTCTTCTCTTCTCTTCTCCTCTCCTCTCCTCTCCTCTCCTCTCCTCTTTTTTTATTAAAATACAGTTGTTGGGGGTTGCTGGCAGCCACCGAGCAGCTGGGGCCAGTAACAGTGAGGGGACAATGGCAGGGACTGCTCTGGGACACCCAGCCCAGCCCCAGGGATGGCTGCAAATCCCCAGGGAGGTCCAGAAGGGCCCGGCCACGTGTGGTCCAGGCTCAAAAGCATTGGCAATATCTGTCTGTCCATCCATCTGTCCGTCAGTGCATCCACCCATCTGTCTGGGGTTAAATCCAGCCAGTCCCCCCCTCCCCCAGCCTGGCTGCCATCACACACTGGTGCTGGTGCTTTAATTCCCTTTACTTATTTATCATTGCAATTGTCTCTTAATGGCTTTGGCAGCCCCTCCAAGCCTCCTGGCGAGGGTGGGAGGTGCTGATGTACAAACAAAAGCCATAAATAAATAAATACATTTGGTGGAAGGGGAGGGTATTCATCTGGGCTGCCACAGGTGATGGCACCCATTCACCCGGGGCAGCTCTTCCCAGCCCAGTGCCCCAGATGCCCCCAGGAGTGACAGGCTGGTCCCTGGGAAGCTTCACTGTGGCCTTGGGAACCTTCCCTCAAATTGTGGCTCTCTGGCTGGAGGAAGCCAGCAAAAACAGCTGCAGGCAAACCTGATCTGAGGCTGGGGCTGAGACAGCAAAGGGGAGCAGAAAGGAGAAAAAAATAAGTAGCAAAAATCCCCAACCCACGTTTTAAATTAATTAGAGACGTCCCTGGTGACTCAGCAGAGGCCAAATGGAGCTGCTTCATGTTTTATGGAAGGGCTCTGCTGCAGGAGACTGAGGACAGCAAGGGACAGGGCAAATGGGGTGCAGGGGGTGCTCCCAGGGGAGGTGGCCCCAGGGTTGGGTGTCAGCCCCTGGTGTCAGGCCAGGGCTATTCTGGGTGCCCCATGTGAATGCCCAGGTCCCTGGCCACCACGGTGGCATTTGCATAATCATCTTTACGTGCCAGTTGGGATGGAAAAGCTGAGATTTTCTCCCATTTCTGTGCCAGGCATTGGGCACTGGTGGAAAGGAAGTGTTTGGGGCAGGAGCAGTCCAGTGCAGGTGAGATCTGTGACCTTCAAGGAACAAGGAAGGACCGAGCTGCTCCTGCAGAATTTCCCTGCTTGTGGGTGCACCAGGGACAAACCTTCAGGGAAGCAGCAGTCTGGAAGCACCCTCTGGCTAGGCTTTCCAAAGAGGGGCTGGGTAATTTAGTGTTTAACAGACGTTGAGAAATATTATTTCTTTTTGCTGAAATTGTCTAATCAATCACTTTTTAATTCAGCCTGCTCTGGCACCCAGGGTACCCAGGGAGGCTGTGGGCTGCTATGCAGACAGAAATAAGGCTGGATCTCTGCTGGGTACCCACCTCTGGGCTCAGCCCCACTGAGGGGGCAGGCACTGTCCTCCCAAACCCAGCCCTGCCTCTCTGCCATCTCCATAGCAGGTCGTGTTTTCACTGCCCCATGGCTCAGCATCACAAGACCCATCCTGATGAGGAGAGGGGGAACACAGCAGGCAACAGAACAGGTCAGCCACTGGGAAGGGGTTCCAATGGCAAGTTCATACTGGTGCTGCCGGGGGGAGATGGTGATTCAGGTCCAGGCAGAGGAAACTGGGTAAATCACAAACCAGGACACATATGGGGCCAAGAAGCCGCTGGGGACAGCTGCCATGCCTGTGCCCAGGGATGCCTGAGGGAGCAGCAGGTGCAGCCACCTCCTGGCTCCTGCCTCCTGCCAAGGCCACAACACAAAACCTCCCCCAGCCCAGAGCCTGCAGCAGGTGCCCTTCCCTGACCCACTGGCAGCTCCTGGGCTGCCCAAATCCATCCAGGGGAAAGGCTGGTGAGCACTTTCCCCAGACCTTCAAACAGCTGAATCCCCTCAGGGACACGTGGCTCCTTGACGGTGGTGAAGCTTTGCCTGAAGCTTCTTCTCAGGTTCAAAGTTTTTCTTTCCCTGGCCATTGCTCTTCCAAGTGCTGCAATAGACTGAATTCCTCCCCAATGCCAGTTTGGCCTCAGATTTACAGCCCAAGCCCCAAAATCCGCTGCTGCTTGTGAGGTCCTTCGAGAGAATCACAGTAGAAAGTGTTTATTTCCATCATAAAGATCTGCTTTAATATTTTAACATAAATCAAGCTGCGCTTTATGGTGATAATAAATTTGCTGGCAGAAACTGCCTTTGCAGCCCGAGGCAGCGGAGCAACTCAATTTGTTTGGCTTTAAGTGTAAGGAGCCGTAATTGAGAAGGGGGAAGTACAGATGTTTTAATTGAGTTTGCAGCTAGCACCCAGAGTTGCAGTAGGCTAATAGAGAAGAGGTGAGGGTCTCCATTACCCTCTCCACTTGCCATTTCTCCTTGGCCTGCAGCCCCATCCGTCACGGCCATCCCCTCCAGGAATAGCTGCTCCGTGCCTAAGCATGAGGAAGAAAGGGATGGATAAAGAAATCAGACTAAACCAGATGTATAATGTGCATTTTATTGGTTTTAATCCCATTTTTTAAAAACTAATTACAGTCAGGACAAAGCATCACGTGTGAATCTGCAATAATGAATTGTTAGTGCTGATAATGGGCAAATAAAAATAGACTTATTCATGATGAGTGAGAGGAGAGAGCTTGTGCCCTGCACCATGGGGTCACCCAGTGTCCCCATAGCCAGTACTGAACCATTCCCTTCCTGCTTTCTCCAGTAATTTTTAAGGCATTGCTATGTCATGTTTTATATGAAAAATGTTCTCTGCTGTAGAGTTTCTTTCTGTTAATCACCCCAATTCCTCGGATATATTTGTTTTGCTGCTGTGCAAGGACAGCAGGTGTCTGGGAATTCATGGTTATTTATTTCAGAAGCACTCATGCTCCTTGGGGAGCACAGTCCTTCTCAGTAAGGTACCATGGCAAAGGCTGGGGCTGGAACACAAGCACTCAGCATCCCATTCCATCCAATACCTGCATCCAAGCAGCTCTTGGAGGTGCAGCCCCTAAGAAGTCACTGTCACACATTGTTGAGGGGGAGAAGGGGACACACAGGCCAGGGAAGAGAAGGCACATCTTTAAATGTAAGAGATGGCAGGAAAGAGGGTGCCAGGCTGGACTCCCTCCCTCCTGGGAAGGGAAGGGAGGGTGAAAGGAGATGAAATAACAGAGAGCAGCCCTGTTTCCTGGCTGCAATGAAATGTGAAGGCAAGAGACTGAAATGGTCATGTGGAGGGCAGGAGCTGAGCCAAGGACCTTGCAATGCATGGGCAGCTCAGGGCAGACAGCTCAGCCCCTCCATGATCCCACATCTGCACACTCATGCAGAGGAACAGCCCCCTCAGCCTCTCCAGCTTCCAAAAGCTCATTTCATCAGCATTCAATTCTCCCTCCAGCTCTGCCCAGCTCCCAGCTGCCATGCAGGTGGCTCCCAGCTCAGCTGCCCCATGATCTGCCCTCCAAACTACTGCTTCCTAAACAAAACACCAGCACCAGATAACTGTAAAATACCTTCTTAATTTGGTACTGAAGATACCACATCAGCTCTCCAGGAGCACTTGGGGATGTTTAAACTCACTATGCAATGCCTGTTTAGGATCAAGCTGGAGAGATGATGAACAGTCTCTCCAGATTCTCTCCAGGCAGCTCGGCAAGGACACAGTGGCAGTGCTCAGGCTTGAGAGGTGCAGGGTTTTGCTTTAAAAGCTATGAAGTGGTTTTATACAGCTCCAGGTACTTGCATATTCCCCCAGGAGGAGCACTTCAGGTCATATGGAAACCAGAAAGTCCTACTTGAAAACAGAGCTTGATTAAAAAGAGCTGCAGTTCAAAGCCTGCTTTAGCGAGCGATGACATTTAATACTGCAGCAAGTGCAGAGGGCAGGAGGATCTGATGTGCACCTGGCTTTGAACCTGCTTTGATAACAGGGGGTTTAAAATAGTTCAGGTGAAAACTTTTAAAGTTCTTCCTTCTGTCAGGAAACCCCCTATGATCTGTGCCCCAGGGCTTCTGAACACAGGACCCGGTGACAAAGTGTGGTCTTACTACAGTGACCACAGGCATCCTAAAAGCAGAGCCTCTCCTAGAGCTGCCTAAGGTAGGAGCAGCCTAATTCTGAAAGCAGCAGAGCAGGAGCAGCCCCAAGCCCACCTTAACCCTGTGCAGAAAGACAAG